GAAACCACTGGATCGCAACTGCCCTTGTTGTGGAAAATCGATCTCTAAGGCCCGTATCGTCAGTCGTCCCTACAATAATTGTAGGGCGCGTTTATGGCCTCCTTGATTGTCATAGTTTTCTACTTCTCCGCGTCAGCCCTCTTTTTTGAGGTTATGTCACAAACATCTATTTGCATCAAATTGTGCTTGCTTTTGAGTTATATCATGTTTTATTAGCCTGAAATATCCTACAATTAGAAAAGAAAACATTTCTTGACAGTAGGAGAGCGCTGACGCTGACACGGATCAGGTGCAATCTAGACCTTTTTTTAAGGAGAGAAAGGATTATGACAATCAAGGAGGTCATAAACGCGCCCTACAATTGTAGGGACGACTGACGATACGGGCTAGTTACCTCAAATGACGATCCTGTCGCTCCCTAGTCTTGTCTTTGACGTCTAGTACATCTAACTCGCCGATTTCGGCCTTCTTGATACCACGCTCGACAACATCTCATTACAGTAGCCTCGTTTCGATTCACCCGATCAGCGTTTTCTGTAAAAGAATATCTGGCTTCATATAACCCGAATATCCGACCCCTCTCAAACTCGGAAAGTTGAGTGAAATTAGTGCGCCTGTGAACTCTAGATATGATATTGCAATGAAACAAATGGAACCACCACAGAAAAATCACAGAATATTAAGCAAACATGTTCATATTGTTCGGATCCTGATATGACAAAAAAAGTACGGTTCGGAATGCCTACAACATATTATAAGGATATACTTCCATGATAGCAAATATGTTTACAAGTTTTTATCAAAATTCAATAAGTAATTCTGGGTGGAGCATTTTATATGTCACTTACTAGGTAGACTGAAGATATGATGTTGCGGATGTGGGCAGAGCTTCGTGACGTCATCTTGCGAGTTGTCGGCTCGTGGTTACCAGCACTACCAGCAGCAGGATTGGCATAACGTTACTGCAGTGCACGTGTATCGTAGTTAATACTATATAGTGCGATTTGCTGGTGATTTTTGATGGTTTTGTGACTTGTTGTATTAGTTATACATACTTTATACAGGCTGTAAACGTTATGGTAGTCATTATTGAAATGGGTAATAGGGGGGGGGTCAAAAAAAGTCAAAAAGTTCATATGAGCCATGGTCCAAAAGTCAATAGATTTTCGTCTAAATGGCTTTATAGTTTACAACTTCAAGTGCTTCATATCTACCACAAACTTAATTTTTATAATCTAGTCTAAAACATTTTTAAATTGGGTAATTAACAAATAAATGGCATTAAGTTTTAAGCCAAAATTTGTAGTCAGTAAGTAAGTTTCATTAAATTGAATATTTAAAACACACATGACAACAGCGCGTCCGTCATCATCACTCTTATCGAACCTGCAATCGATCGCAAACGGTAACAGTGGTTAGTATGTTGTTTTGTTTTTGTTCGCGTACGTCGAAAATTTTTTTAATGCGGCTGAAATAATAAATGGACAACTTCGAGGACCTAGAGTAAGAAGAAACTGGGTTCGTCGTAATAAAGCTTGTGTGGAAAGTGGAGGACGACATTTTGAACACCTTCTTTAAATACAAAAAAATGCAGTGTGGGTTTAAAAAAAAAAACAATGTATGTATCAATATTGTGTTCCCTATTTATAAGTGGATTTTTTTAATACGTTCAATAAACTTTCACACACCAGGTGAAGCACTGAGACAGTTATAGTGGTATGTCCGTTTTTCTCAATTGTTTGCATTTTACGAGCACATTATCAAATAATGAAATAATACCTTAGAGCCAAAAATAACAAACTCCATCTTTATTTACCCTGCGTTCCGTCGTAATTTGCGTCGGGCATTAACCTTTTGGGTTACACCCCTAAAAGAGATGCTCTAAAAGATGATGCCATTCCTGCGGAAAGTTTAGCCTATCTCTATCATCACCTAAACCTTCTACATATGTTGCTGGTCAAAGTGCTCAATAAGGTCATATATTTTGGGGTGAAACGCATGCGCATACTCAGATTATTGCAGCGTAGAGTGAGAGGATACTACAGACATTCCACTAACCGCATCATTAACTAATAAACTGAATACACCTGAAGTATCAGCTAACTATAACAAGGAAGTTTTAGTGGAAGAAATAGATGAGCTCGAGTATGACGGGCTGGAAAATTTGGCCGGCTTTGTTTGCCATAAATTGCAGGATGAGAGGTTGAAAAGTTCCTCAAATGAAACTTATTCCGGGATAGACCATCTTAGTGAGGGTGTATTATCAAAACCTTCCACAGCTTTCATGAATCAAATAGAGAAGCTGAACAAGGTGTTTACTACATTCATTGGGGACATAATAGTGACAGAAGAGTAAAATTTTATAGGCGAATTTCTGTTGAAGAGCAGCAACATTGACTGCCCTCAAAAAGCTAAAAAAATATTTTTCAGGTCAACGATATTCTTCCGGATCAAAGATCTGAATAAAAGTTTAAAGACCAGAAAAATCGTAAAAGGAAATGGTGAAAAATTGTTTCTTGAACTAAGTCATTTCCATTCATTGTTATACCGCCTGCAAAATGAATATAACTCCATTTTTCTACTTTTCGAGTTGCGCACATTTTCACTCTTGCATGTACAAACTTAGAAAGTTCTGTCAAATTAGGATAAATGTAGTGAAGTATTAACGACATGAGCATGTTAATCCTGCTCCACAGAACATACTAAAATATAGGTAATGTAATGGGTGATTCATTTATAGGTACTTTTTTCAGCAACAAAATAAAATAACAAAATTCTTTTTTCTTGTCAAATCTTTTTTATGAAAGAAAAGAACTATTTTTGACATTTATTTTTTAAATATTATTTCTTTTAAATGTTGGCCCTGACTGCGGTTGAGATGGTCCATACTAAAGTTCCAATTCCACACGTTGGAGCATTTCGACTGGAATTTGGCGAATGACCTGCGTAATGTTGGCTTCTAATTCCTCAATCGTATTGGGCTTATCAATGTAGACTTTGGACTTAACGTAGCCCCAAAGAAAAAAGTCTAGAGGTGTGATATCACATGATCTAGGTGGCCATAATTCACTGGTCCAATTCGTGAAATTAAGTGTTCATCGAAATGTTCTCGCAATAAAGCCATGGTTGCAAGTGGCGCCGTCTTGTTGGAACCAAATGTCATCGAGATTACGGGCTTCAATTTCAGGCAGCAAATAATCCGTTATCATGGCGCGCTAACGAGCACCATTCACAGTTACGTTCTGACCGGCCTCATTTTTAAAAAAATAGGGACCGTTGTTTTCGCTGGATGTAATGGCAGCTCTTGAACCACTTCGGGTTGTTCTTCACCCCAAATACGACAGTTTTGTTTATTAATGTAGCCGTTAAGCCAACAATGGGCCTCATCGCTAAACAAAATTTTGCTCGAAAACATCGGATCTTCTTCAAGCCGTGCAAGAGCCCAAAGACTGAAACGATGACGCTTTGGAAGGTCTGCCGGCTTCAATTCTTGAACGAGTTGAATTTTGTATGGTTTCAAATACGCCAAGTTGTTGAATACGACAAGCCAAGCTGTTGAGAACGGCGCCAACTATTTTCTTCACTGCGTGCTGGATGTGGTCTATTTGGTCGGGTATTATCCAATAATGAAAATTGGGTTTCCAATTTTTCGACCGTACGGCGAATTGTTGAAACGTTGATTTTCGTAGTACAGCTGAATTATTTGTAGACGTAGTGCTGGACTAATGAATGAATGAATCTTGAATTTTAGAGGCATCCCGGCCACCATAAGGAGCCAGTGCATAGGCCGCTTAAGCGGGCCCTTATGCACCTCTACAATACTTAAATCACAAGCCTCGCCCTTTTAGCGAAGTTGAGAATCGCCTTGAGTCCAAGCTCCTTTACGTCCTGAGGGTCCAAAGTAATGGACCCCAGTATAGTCTGCCTATAGTAGCTCAGAGCTTCACAGCGACACAAAACGTGCGCCGAGGTCTCTTCCTCTACTCCGCAGCGTTCGCACAAGGGATCCTCAGCCACCCCCATCACGTGCAGGTGCCGCCTTAACGTGTTATGGCCAGACAACAGTCCCACCAGCAACCTTAGGTTGGCTCTACCCAGAGATAGGCAGAAGCGTCCATCCTTAGCACTGGGCCCTTCAATGAGCTCTCGTGCCTGGCGGAGATGTCTAGAGATACTTCTCCATTTCTTGCAACCCACGTCTCCATTTTCCTCCTAGCTTTATGCGCGGTTACTCCTAGAGCTGGCTCAGGACCAACGAGCTTGCTGGCTGATCCTGTTTTCGCCAGAGTGTCCGCCGTCTCATTGCCCCTTATCCCAGCGTGCCCCGGTACCCATATTAACGATACCGGATGCCTCGCTGCGAGGCAATCCAGAGCCTCCCTGCATTGCAATACAAGACTCGAAGCTGGACTAAGTCTTTCCATGATGAAATGTCGAACAATACTGAAACAGAAACTGTCAAATTAGTTGTCATGACGCATGCGCCATAAGCAATTACAGCCACACCAAAAAAGTACCTCTAAATGAATCACCCGTTAGAAAAACGTGGAGCTAGAAAGCCGTTTGAGCTGTAGTCTATGAAATAGGAATTACAAGGTTGAAACCTTTTATTTAAATCCGCCATTTTGTTTTGAATAGTATTTTAATGTAGGTTGTGTCACTCGCACCGCTAAAACGAATCCAACGACACATCTTATGTGAGAATCCGTCCAGTTGTTTGGCCTGTAGGTGAAAATATGCACGTTATCCATATCAACCCATATGAGAATCACTCTCAGCGTGACGTCATGCGCGCCGGCGGACGAAAATCGAACGGCGGAGCATCCGGCACTGGTTTGATTGGAACATCGGGATTCTTTTATACCATTTGTTCGTAGTGAAAGAGTTTTTCAAGGGTGCTGAACCAATTTTTAGTTCAATTATAAGAATCGTCCGATTAAACTAGTTCGAACAACACATCACTATTGACAATGACATAAGTCAATCGTGTTGCCCTATGGATAACATCGAATTCCACCTTTTTCAGATATGTTTTGTGCTTCACCACGGAGCACGGACCACGGGTGCTTCACTGCTTTCACCTTCACCTATACCTAATATTTATTTGATAATAGTGGGGAAAAGCCAACAAAATGTAGTTAAATGCTAAACACTTATAACAGTTTTTTTTGCCAAGTGGATTATTGGATGATCTTATCAATTGTGTTGTATGTGAAGTGTATAACAGGTTCGTTTTGAAATCAGAATATTCCCAAGAATTTAAAAATGGTGAACAGCAAAACTGGCATGTTTTGTTTGTATTTTTAGGTTGTTGTAACTGGATGTGGTGAGTCATGGATGAAAGCAGCGAATCTTCCAAAACATCGCCAAAGCCATTAGCTTTTACAATAGATTTCAACAGTCCAAAAAACGTTGATACCCAAAGACAAAAAGTCTTGGCAGAAAAACTTCAAAAAAGACATAAACGGGGACAGTCATTATCTAAACTCGATAATTGCTCTGCAGCACAGCAACAGCACCATACTTTAAGTGGAAATGCACCACGGAAATCCAGTTTCCAGTCCGAAGGCTATTACTCATCAGATGAAAAACAAGACAAAAGTAAAAGCTCCAAAGATATGACACTTTGGTTACAACATGTTAGTAACAATATGACTAGGTCATTAACAGGTGAAAATCTCGAAACGATCAAAAGTCCTAAAGAATTTGAGCTCAAACATTCATCTAGTTCTAGCTTTGAATTGGACATGTTTTCATTTAGAACTAAAAATCCAGGTGAGAGTACTTACAAACATCATTTGAGTCAAGAGTATGAGAAATTGCATATAGAAGACAATAATGAAAAAGATGTATTTGTTGAAGGTACTGAATTTGATTTTGACAAGTCTGATACTGTTAGTGATGCAGGAACTTATACTTTAGATGCTGATAATTATTCTGAGGATCAGAAAGCAAGAATGAGTATTGATAGAGATTTTAATATTGAGCATGTATCAGTACAGAAGAAGACTGAAGAATATATAGAAAGTTTATCTAAACCAGCATATAAACAAATAAAAACTGATATGGAAAAGATTGATCCTCCAAAAGATCTCGATATACTAACACATTCTTCTAGAAGAAGAAAAGAACATTTGAACCTATTGAAACAAGTCAAAAAAGCATCTTCCCCAATAATGTCCCCTACAGAAAACTTTTCAGTCACTCAGGATATTGAAAAATGTCAAAATGTCGGCAATAGTGACTTCAATCAAACATTTACAAAAACATCAACTCCAAGCTCAAATGAAAAATGTACTGAAGTAGATAAATCCCATGATCAAGGTTCAATTATCTCAGTAACATCTAGTGGTGCTTTTAAAGCTAAATGTCACAAGAAGCCCAATTTCAATTTGACAAAATCTGAGGTACAAGTGCAGGCTTATATTGATAATAAAGCTTGTAGTAATAACTCTAACATAAAAGAGAGTGTAAAAGTTACTCAAAGTTAACAGCAAGTATTATCAATGTTCAAAGTATAGAAGTTAAAAGTACATTAGATAATGACTGTTTATGTGCTAATCTAGTTCTGGGAAAATTATCTGATTCACCAAAGTGTACTTCACCAGTAACAACATTACCACCTATGGTAGGAGGAAAAACATCCCCAACAAAGATTCCATCCCCTATACATACTTTGTCTCACCCTAGAAGTAGAAATAGCATTAGTACATTAGGTGCAGAATTTTCTGACCATAGCTTGGATACAGACTTGATCCTTAAGCCTACTCAAAACTATATAAATTCATTACAACAGCGCTTATCATTAGATAGTGATCCTGATAGTGATTATGATGTAAAATATGGTTTACAGCTAAATAACACAGCACATTTACTTAAACAGAAAACTTCACACATAAGGCATAACTCACTTGATGATAGAACCATGAATAAACTAGAACATTTCCAAAATAAGAACTTCATGGGTATTGATCAAACATACACAAACTTGTTCAATCAATATTCCCACAATAAGGTTATGCATAAAATCCAGAATTCACCAAACAATTCGCCAATAAGGCGCTCTAGTAGCTTCTCCACAAAGAACCAATTTGATTTACCAAAGAGTACTAACATTCAAAAGATATCCAATATGACTTACTCACCTGCAATTCAGAGAAATGCTTCAGTTCAAAGAAGTTCTTCTACAGCATGCATGAAGCCTAACTATAGAACTAATCAAGCAACTAGTATTACCAATCATACAAAAATTGATCGTAACCAATTTGGAGATACTGAATCTAGTTCAGAGGAGGATTTTGATAAGAACATTCAGAAGAAGAAGGACTTATCAAATACATCAAGTACAAGGTCTAATAGAGCATTCAGTTTGAGAAGAGCTCATGCAGATGGTGAGAATGCTCAGTTGAATTACCTCAATACCCCTCAAATGAAACGAAAAGTCTTCCAACCTGAAATGAAACAAGAGCGAGCTATTTCCGTAGATAGAAAACCAATGAAAACTAATGAGGTGCAGAGCAGGTAAGATGTGAAGCAGAGTAGAAGGTACGCCTAAAAATTACAAATTCTCATGTAAACATATGTCCCATTAGCAACATATAGGATGTTGTAATGTACCTAACTGATGGTACAGGTAAGAGACCAGACTTCAATATTTTTTAAAATACATTGCATAAAATTTCCAATCATGAAACTTGACCAACCAGCTATTTTCACACTAGTTTGTCATAAAAAATAATGACCTAACAAGAACTCAACAATAATAATCGAGTTTTTTTTTTAAATAAAATCAGCTTCTAAGTCACTGGCATAGTTTGAGAGTTAGAGATAATTTTTTCTCCACATTGAAATCAGTACTGTAGCACTGTGTATCTTAATAAAGGGACATTTTTTACCCATTTTTAAGGATTGTTTTGTTATCTTGAGCCTATTTTCTGCCCCAAAGATATTTCCACTGTTTTGTTATAAACTTGTGGACAGTTGCTTTGCAACACGGAAAGTTTTAGTCAAATTCAAATTTGATGAGTTGCGGTATTGGGGAGGTTATTGACCAACTCTTTGAGAACACCTACAGGGTTCAACTGGTATCTTTCTTTTATTTATCCATTTATACAGGGTGAGCAAAGGAAGTCAGGTTTCTTTAGCAAAGTTTGGAGCTATGTCAGATTCTTAATTTTTGATTTTGGATTTTTTTCTAGGCATCTTTTTATCTTTGGACTATCCTGAAAAAAGGAATTTCTCGAATTTTCAAAGTTGGCTATAACTCAAATTTTTGAATTTTGAAAAAGTATTACATTTATCCCTAAAAATGGTCTTTTTTGATGTTTCTCTTGAGAATGGGTGTTTTGTATCATTATGTATCATAGTGCAAAGTGGAATTTCTTGCGCCCAAGTGAAGATTGAAGCACTCATTAAATGTTATTGCCTCCAATGGCGTACAGTAAAAATTTGCTACTTTGACATTATGTAATATAAAGCGAATTTAATTTTTTATTTATTTATTTAATTTTACTAGGCAATTAAACAGCTTAATAAACAAATGAAAGTTACTACTCATAAAATATTGGTATATTCCAGTGGCGTAACGCCAAAAAGCATTTTTTGGTTTGGTAAGGAGTGCTAAAAAAAATATTTTTCAAAATGCTAAGATGCTGGCCAACACTGCTATTCGTCTTTAATCTGGAATTTTTTATCTCTCTCATTCAGCATTGGCCTACGCGTCTTCATTGGAGATGTTTTCCAATAGGTAAAACACTCTATTAAATGTTTAAACAACATCAAACAATTTATTGATTAACAATAACAGTATGTAAAATTTTAGAAAACAAAAATTTGAAGACCAGTTAAATACTTAAATTATTCTTTATGACAAAGCGAACTTTTTATAAAACAGCAATAGTTATTTTGAACAATTATGTAGGGCCACCCTGCACATCGGTCACAGCCTGGCATTTTCATGCCTTACTTCCCAGAAGGTTATTAATAAATTCTCGGAATGCGTTTTCCCACTCTTCCTGAATGGCCTCAGTCAGCTCTTCCATTGTTTGCGGAGCATTTTGTCTCGAGCGCACTAAAAATTTTAGCCGAGACCTCACATGCTCAATTATGTTTAGCTCTGGAGACTTTGATGTCAGAAGCAATAATGTAACATTATTTTCTGCCAAAAAGTTTATATGTAATTGTACAAGTTCTATGCAGTAATGCCACCTCCATCAAACGCCTCGTGTGGAGCCAGGTTTTCTTCGTCATGTTGTTCCCCAGCTTGCCTCCAAAAAGGACCCTACCATCTGAGTGGTATATGTTGAAGCGTGTGTCATTGAAAAACATGCAATTTTGCCACTGCTGATGCCAATTTACCCGTTTCTATGCCCATTGACCAATCTTTTATTGTTCAAGAGTAGGGTACACTTGGCGCGACGCCTTACTCTGGAAGAAATGCTATTGTAAAAAAGTACCCAGCAAATTATTTATAACATTTCTTCTTACAGTACGATTGGTTCTGGATGAAAGGGTCCTCATTCGCCTTATTTGCTGCAATAAATGTCTTTCGGCCCGACCTCGTATTTTTTTTATTACTACTTGTCTACGTTTCCCCGGTATCCTGATATCTAAGCCTTAAACGGTATATTGAGGACCGATCAATACCGTAAATATAAATATTAAAAATACGAGGCATTTTTGAGAAGAGAGAGAGAAAATAAAATTATACTGAAGTTAAAAATTCAATAATTTGAGTTATAGCCAACCTTCGATAAATTTGAGATATTACTTTGTTAGGATGGTCCAAAGATCAAAAAGATGCCTAGAAAAAATTGAGAATCTAACATAGCCCCAAACTTTGCTAAAAAACCAGACTTCCTTTGATCACCCTGTATAAGTGGATAAATAAAAGAAATATACGGGTCGAACCCTATACGTTTTCTCAAAGAGTTGGTCAAGAACCTCCCGAATACCGCAAGTCGATCTCTTTCCGTTACGAAAACATCGAGGTTTGAATTTTGGTTGCAAAGCAACTGTCCACCAGTTTAGATAAAAATATGTTTTCATTTAGATTCTAATAATTATCTCAAAAGTTGCAAATCCGTTTTCCATAAAGGTGTATAAGAATTAAACGCCTCGCCTAGAACTATTTGAGGTCGGGAATCTTTAAAAACTAACTAAACTTTTTTAAATGTATGAATAATCCATATATGATAGTGAATTCCATAATATGTCATTAATTTGAATTTATATATATTATGATATGCCATCGATGATACGATGTTAGCGCCGTCGGACAGAAAGATTTTAAAACTGGCAATTCTCTTTTGATCTGACAAATTATGGTTGACAGCGAAATAGTTGCACAACCTTAGTTGGCCACACATGACAGATTTCACCATAGGGACCATACCTATATATTCAACTACGAGTATTTGTCCGATTGTTTCCGTTTTTGTCCGCCACGTGCGAGCTGTCCGTTACTCCCACTATGCACTTCGCTCCCGGTGAATACTGACAATTTTTTTTTTGTATATGCTATACAAGTATCCAAGCATCCATGAAATATATTTCTATGGTAGGACTCCATGATTTTCTGGCCGCTCTCAGTAAGAAAACCACAGAATAAGTTTCAGGTGTTACATTATGTTTCTGTGTAGTCATAAGAACTAATAATTCAACCTACTACTATTGAGCAATACTCGAAGCTAGGTCTTATCTGGGCCTTCTACAGAGTATGGAGGTCATGTGGAGAAAAGTAACTCTTACCCCTAAACAAATAGCATAGCTTTTTCCCAGCAGCTGCCACTATTGACGAAATGTGTTCATGCCAGATCAAGTCCCCGCTGATCCGCCCAGCACTGGTATTACGTATCTTGAAAAGTGACATTATGCCGATTTTGTTTACATTGTATTGGTTTTTGATGACATTATGTAGTTTTTTCTACAAGATGTTAACTTAGCACTTAGTTGTAAGTGTTGCCTAAACGTCATGAGGTTGCAGTTATCAATGTTTGGATATGATGTGATGTAAAATATGCTTCAGAGATGGCATTACTGGAGGTCTAAGCTGTAAGTTGTATGTGTTGATGATAATCCCATTGGATTCTTGTCTCAAATATACTTACTTGAAATTTAAAGCTAGACATTAGTTGCGCATCCACTTTTTCTTAACCATTCTGGAAATTCCGTATGCAATTTAAAAAATTAGACAGATAAGAAATAATTATATCACTGTACACTGTCGAATTACAAGCCATATACATGCTATCTTACAACGCGGGCGCGCTGCCGATTCCCTGTAATTCTCCTCAAAGTTTTTCGTAATTTATAACTTTGAACATAACGTCTCTTCAGAAAGTACAACACAAATAACCCAGCTAATATATACTTCATTGACATCATATTCAGTAATGATTTTCTCACACAACAAATATCAATGATTTTATACGCATGCAGACTAATACACATATCATCCAGATGCGACGTTGCTATTCAACCAACATTTTTGACAGAGGTAAAAACTACAGATTACTCGGCTTCTCAAAACATATTCAACCAACAATGCGTGTAGTTTAGTTGAGTCATTCCTCCATAGATGAACCCTCAGAACGATCCTAGTGAGCAAACGTGGTATGACTGTTTGCACCCTAAAAACTACCTAGTCTGCAAGATTACATTTTATAGGTTTGTTTTGACCCGTGCCGATATTATGTAAAAAACCTATAAAACGTCAAAACAAAAACCTATAAAATGTCATCTTGCAGACTAGGTAGTTTTTAGGGTGCAAACAGTCATTCCACGTTTGCTCAATAGGATCAGTGTGAGCGTCCATCTATGGAAGAATGAGTCAACTAAACTACACGCATTGTTGGTTGCATATGTTTTGTGAATCCCAGTGATCTATAGTTTTCATATCTGAGAAGAAGGTTGGTTGAATAGCAAGGTCGCATCTGGATAATTATGTGTATAAGAGCAGTGATATTTGCTGTGTGATAAAATCATTACTGAATATGCTGCCAATGAAGTATATCTATCAGCTGTGTCCGACGAATTATTTGGGTTGTGCTTTCTAATAAATTACGAAAAACTTTGAGGAGAATTACGGGAAATCACCTCCGCGCCCGCGTTGTGTGTAATTATTACTGTCAGCATGTACGTATATGGCTTGTAATTCGACAGTGTACAGTGAATATAATTATTTCATATCTCTCTCATTTTTTAAATTCAACAAATTTGCATATGTAATTTCCAGAATGGATAAGAAAAAGTGGATGCGCAACTAATTTCTAGCTTTGAATCTCAAGTATGTGTATTTATATATAACGTCACTTTTCAAGATACCTAATACCCGTGCCGGACTCCAACCAGCCGAAATGAACGGGTCTTTGGTAGAACTCGGCCATCCATCGAATCCTGATGAGCATAGGATGGATTCTTCTTGTTCGTCAAGGTACAATACTGTGCTTTGGAAGTTTTAACTGTACAAAATTGTTGCGTCCCAAGCAGTGAAAACCTCCAGGTCTTTCGTCAGAGAGGAGGTTGCTTCTAGTCTTGTTCTCTCCAGATCACTGGCAGAGATCGGCTTGTCACTCTGAAATCCTGCATGTAAAGTGCTGTCATCAGCAAATCTGTGGATTGGATTGATCTTACAGGAAAGGGATAAAGAGGAGAACCCGTCAATTACGACGAAGAAGCAGTGAAAACCTCCAGGTCTCTCGTCAGAGAGGAGGTTGCTTCTAGTCTTGTTCTCTCCAGATCACCGGCAGAGATCGGCTTGTTACTCTGAAATCCTGCATGTAAAGTGCTGTCATCAGCAAATCGGTGGATTGGATTGATCTTACAGAAAAGGGATGAAGAGGAGAACCCGTCAATTACGACGGATATCTTGCGACCAAACAGAAAGTCAGCCACCCATCTGCAAAGCTTCTCTGGGAGGCCATAGGATGCAAGTTTGCATAGGAGGCCGGCATATCACAACTCATCGAACATGAGCCTGACCACAAGACGACTGCATGAGTTTACTCCACAGTTGCGTGGCGCAAGCTAGGAGGTCCCCTGTGGATCGTTGATGCCTGAAACCATACTGCCTGTCGTTAATCAAGCCGTGACATTCTACCTCTCCATCATCACCTTACTGATAACAGAAAGCAGAGGTATAGGTCTGTAGTTGTAAGGGCCAGTCTTATATCCTTTTTTGGATGGGTTAGATTTAAGTAAATTTCCAGAACTTTGCCTCCTCTTCAATACAATGGCAGGAATTACGCCAGGACCAGCAGCTTTGTTCATGCGACAAAAGCACCGATCTTACGTCTTATGCCTGAATGTTACTTCCCGCATATTCTATGGAACCTTTTGAATCGACGGCACTTGGCCATTGGGGGAGACGTCCATTGTGGAGTTATCAGAAAGATCTTGGCAACCACTTCCGCCTGAGTCTTTGAGTCGATTACAATTGTTCCATCCTGGCACGTAAGCGATGATAGGCTACTCTGCGAGAAGTTCCTTTCATTCTTCTTGGCCACCGTCCAGAAAGACTGACCGCCATTGCGCTGCGACATTACGCTGTGCCCAACTTTTACATCGTGCTGGTCTTTGGCATTGCGGACCGCTTCGTTATATACTAAATGATAATTTTGAGCAGACTTTTACAAGTTTTAGGTCTACTGATAAATAGAAAGTGATTAAAATTTTAACTCGAAATTTCGCAAAGTAGCTGAAATATCCCACCTTAAGGTTAAAAATTGAAACGGCATTAATTGGATTAGGTGATTGATGTCTTCTTGGTATATAATATCACAGGTCGTCTGCATTTGGTTTCGTAGAGCCTCCAATGTTTGTCGAGGGTGCGGTCATGTGCCATACATGTTCGATGGAGGAAAGGTCTGGAGATCGAGGACGCCGCTGAAACAGATTTATTTCGGCGCTTCTAAAATGTCCAAACTAACACGTGCGACATGAGGTCGTGCACTGTTCCGCTCAAAAAGTGAATCTTCCAATGTTTTCAAAATGGGAAGCAGTCGTGGTTGTAAGACTTCGTGGATATGGCTCTGGGCAGTCATGGTACCTGAAATGATCACTAATCGTGACCTGCTGCCGTAAGCAATGGCACCCCATACCATAACACCCATAGTGCGATGAATATGCCGTCCGATGGAATATTGGACGTTCCGTCTCTTACCACGTCTCCTTACTATTGCACGGCCATTATGTGTGCCTAAACAGTGGACTAATCCCTGAACAGGACTGAGTTCCATTCAAGTCTCTCCCTACTCCATACCAGTCGTTGCCGACGATGCTGTGGGGTCAGAAGTAGTACAAGATGGGGACTGTATGAAGACAGTCCAAAAGACCTTATTCGGCGTTTAAACTGTCCTCATTGTTATTGCCCTTCCGGCAGCATCAAACCACTGGTTTGCAACTGCCCTTTTTGTGGCGATCTCTAAGTGCTAGTTGCCTCAAATAACGATCCTGTCTATCTGTAGTCTCTCTTTGACCTCCAGTAACTCTAACTCGTCGATTTCGGCCTTCTTGACAACATCTCATTACAGTAGCTTCAATTCGATTCACCCGATTAGCGATTTCTCTAAAAGAAAATTCGGCTTCACGTAACCCGATTATCCGACCCCTCTCAAACTCGGAAAGTTGAGTGAAATTAGCGCGTCTGCGAACTCTAGGCATGATAATGCAATAAAACAAATGGAACCAACACAGAAAAATCACTGAATTTCAAGTAAATACGAGTATGTTCGTATTGATCGGATCCTGATATGACAAAAAAAGTACGGCTCGGAATGCCTTCAAAATTTTATCAGCGTATACTTCCATGATAGCAAATCTGTTTACAAGTTTTTATCAAAATTCAATAAATAATTCTGGGTGTTGCATTTTATATGTCACTTAGTATATTTGTTTCTGGATTCGATGTCGGCTTGTCTGTTCTGTAAAAAGGCTCTGTGTGCCTTGAGGTTCTGCTGACGAGCAGTGTCGCACTATTTGTTGAACCAGCCGTTGGACCCTGGTTTAGGCATTTTCACTGTATGGGGGACGTATTCCTCCACCCCAAAGTGGATAATTTCGGTTAGTGATGAACAGACATGATGCGTCGGCGTCTGCGAATCAAACATCTCCTCAAGGAAAGGTGGAGAAAAAGTCTTTGAGGCCCTCCCAGTCGGCATGTCCTTAATGGCAGATTTTGCGACCTGGGTGAGTTTCTACTGCCACAGCGGGTTCTGACCGAAACCTAACCTCAACAACACCGTGGTCTGAATTACCCAGGGGAGACAGGACATCAGTGCTGTAAGGGGCGGGATGCATGGTCAGAAAGAGATCAAGAAGGCTGCTGATGTGTGACGAAACGCGGGGGAAATAAGTAGGGCTGGTCACCAGCTGGGTTAGTCCTTGAGTAATAGCAAACGCTTGAACAGCATGACGAGCTGCTCCGGTCTTGTTTGCGCCCAGAGCTCATTATTTACATTGAAATCACCGAGGAGAACTACCTCTGAAGCAGAGTGATTGATGTTCAGGAAGTCGAGCTTGACAGCGATGTATTTGTATTCAAGTAGGTCATCCGAGGGGGAGCGATAAGGCAGCAAATAAATTTGGGGAATGTTTCTGTGTAGCCATGAGAGCTAAATGAATTCAATCTTCAGCTACTACTCCCTTATTTCAGATACATGTTAAACATAAGCAAAAGATCGACACCTCCGCCGCAAGCGAAAACGGAGGTGAAGAGTAGCACGACGAAAACACCACAGAGACCACAGAGTTTCACGCGAACAGACGCCAGCAGATCCAGCATGCGAACGATTAAACCGACAACTACCACAACAGGTGGACCTGCTAAGACTAACAAGAAGCAAGGTGAGGACCATTAATGTTATTTGATATACAATTTTGGATTGAATTATATAATTTTGGAACGTTCGTTAGCCCAAGAAAGTGAAGTTGCAACCTTGGAATGAAAAATGATAAGCTAAAAATTTGTGTACACCTGTTTCTACACTGTAAGGGATGTTTCTATATGGTCATAATGCTGAAATAAATGAATAAAACAAAATGGTACGAATTGAGATTTGAACATCCGACTAAAATACCGATAGAAGCTCGTGCTTCTCTGGTCGCCTTAGTACGCTCCGCTAAATCCATTGATGTCACTGTCTTCTAAAACGATATTATACCGTAAGCGTCAACCTTTATAAATGAGATGAAAAACATTTAAACTTTCCAATTAATCACGCGTTGTGCTCGTAGTAGTTAGCTCATATTTTTGCCATGGGTGTATTATACAGGGTATTCGAAAAATCGGAAATATTTTAGACGGTGATTCCTTGTTGAAAGATATAAAAAAAGTTTGAATAAACATGGGTCCAGAAATGCAGTTTTCACGATACAGGGTGATAAATTAAATAAAAATATTATCTTAAAAAATCTCTCGTCCCGGGGGCCACCATAGCGAATATTATTGGCAAAAAAGTACACAACTGCCTTTTTTGTAACTTTAATATTTGTTATTTGATTAAGCATCTAAAAATGCAACTTCTATGTCTATTGTATTTTTTTTTTCATATCTCACTCCGTTTTTGGGCAAAAATAAAAAACGTTTTAGTGCATGTCAATTGGCAAAATTGGTTTATTAATTTTTAAAAAATCACGTGTCCAGTGCCTTGGAAAAAGAAATAAAAAAAATTCTAGGAAAGATTGTTATTGCAACTTCCCTAATAGGTACTATGACATAAAGTACACTACAACTCATTGAACGACGAACTCGAGCTAAAATTCGAGGTATATTTCTTATTTATTCGCAAGCATTTACGATTTTATTTCTTAATTCTTCTGTTGTTTCTATGGGAGTAGCGAAAACCATCGTCTTAAGGTGTCCCCATATATAAAAATCTATTGGATTTAAGTCAGGGGAGCAAGGTGGCCAGTGAATTGGTCCACCTCTTTCAACCCAATTTTCACCAAAGTGTTATTCAGATGAGTTCTGACAGGTATAATGAGCAGGAGCTCCATCGTGCATAAAAGTTATTTGGTTACGTACATTTAGAGGAATTTCTTCTAGCAGTATGGATAATTTTTGTTGAAGAAACTCTAAGTAAGATTCGCCGCTTATAAAGGGTAAAAAGAAACTACCAATTAAATTGTCACCAACAATACCCATCCACACATTTAAAGAAAATTGTTCCTGGTGGTGTCAGTGAATGTGAGCATGAGGATTTTCGTCACTGCATACATGAGTGCTTTGGTAATTAACTATACCATCTCGCCGAAATTCTGCTTCGTCCGTAAAAAGTATGGTTTGATTAAAATTACTATTATTATTAACCTTTTGGTGACACCATTGGCAAAACTGTAAACGAGGTAGAAAATCTCTTGGTAACAATGTTTACACACCTTGGACATGATAGGGATACAGAAGTTGCTCGAAGAGAGCAGTTCTGATGAAGATGTTTGCTATAGTTCTGGTACTGATACCAGGATTTTGTTCCACGGCACGTAAAACTGCCTCGTCAGACTCTTAGGGACCTTGGTCGGCCTCTATCATTGGTGGGAATTTCAAGGCTTCCTAAATAACAGTATTGTCAAAAACACCACGAAAAATAAATGAGAAAATTTACTTCTTTTCCGTAATCTACGGTCTACGCTTTCAAAGGTTTTACTATCTGGAAGTTGCCGATGGGGAAACGCTTCTGCATACAGGCGCCTCGCTGCATAACAGTTACTATAAGCACGTGCATACATTACAGGCTTGTCTGCCAGTTTCTCAAAAGTGTAATTTTCCATCACCAGAACCGAGACAAAAACTTTTTAGGGAAATTTGGCAAAGCAAATTACGTTAATAATTATTTTCTAGAAGAAGTGACGCGCAAATGTCAAACCTCCATGCAGAAATAGTTTTTTGGTTTTTTTTGTTAATAAACCAATCTTGTCCAGTGACGGTTTTTATTTTTTTTCTCGAAAACGAAGCGAGATACGAAAAAATACAAGAGGCAATGAAGTTGTATTTTTGAGATATGCTTAATCAAACAACTAATATTAAAGTTACAAAAAAGGCAGTGGCTTAATTTTTTTTGCTAATAATTTTAATCTATTTAGGGCTAAATTAGCCTCCTAATACAACAAATAATATTGCCTAATTTCAACAGAATCGCGTAATTTTTTTTAAGATATTAGTATTTTTTTAATGTATCACCCTGTATCTTGAAAAGTGCATTTCCGGACCCATGTCTATCGAAACTTAATTTTTTAACAAGGAATCACCCTCTAAAATACCTCCGTCTATTTTTCGAACACCATGTATAAAGTGGTATAAAGTATAACCTGAAATCAAAAGCCGTTGTTGAAATGGATCTTCTTTTTTGTTAATCAGGCAAAAAATCAAATAGTAGTACAAGTGGCGGAGGACCTCGCAGCAACTCCTCGCTTTCCAGCCGCGAAGTGGAATTCCAAAATTGGAAGAGACGGAAAAGCTACGACCCCATGAAGGCAGCGGCAGAGGGCAAACGCCGCGAAGCGGCTGCACGAAAATCTGTCCAACAGGACGTCCAAAACGGTTTACCTGGCAGGGATAGTCAAAGTCAAGAAAGCTCACCCAGTCATTCCGGTTCAGTGCATAGGTCCCAGGTATGTTTGATTTCTATTGGTTAAAGACCCAGACCCCAAGACAGTTTTAATGCCACTATTAAGGTATTTGCTCACTATAATACAATCATATTAGCTAATTTCCCGGACATAATTGTAAAGTCTGGTTTTATTGATACAAATTCTTCAAGAGGGTATTTAAAACATGAACGCATATATTGGGTGCACCAGTTTTTGTGGGAAACCGTTTTATTCGGCAACAAAGAATGAGAAAACGTGTTTTTTGGGATTCAATTGAAAGTATTGGCAGGAACGAACAAACTCCTCAAATAAGATTTTTAGGTAGATTTTCAAAATGAGTCCTAACGTAAAAAGATCCGACTAATATCAAAAACGTTATGGCCGAAAAACCAGGCAGAATGCAGGTTTTGGCACTTGTTGATAATGCGACGATAATTTCACGCAACTACTTGAAATTCTTCAAATCCGTAGAATTCATACTTCTAAATAACCACAACAAAATTGGAGTAGATCAAGTAGTTTTTGGGAATTTCTAATTGTTTATCCCAAAACACCTGTTTTCCGGCCATCACGACTAGTTTATTGAGCAATTTGCAGGTTTCGTTCAAAGGGCGTTTTATAGCAAAATACACGAGTAGCCATTCCGAAAAATAATTGTTATTTTTATGCGAAAAACGGAGGATTACAAATTCAAACATTTCGTATTTGTAAGTAACTGAACAGATTCGCTACGACATTCGAAAAACATACGTTATTATACACATTTTAAAACAAAGCCTATCACCTCTTGTTACGAAGAAAACATTTTTTTTCAAGATTTTTTCATACTCTTGTGTATACATATTTAGAGCTGAAATTTTTACACAATCACATATGTCTTAAAGTTAATAAATAAATATTCCATTCAAAATAGGCGAGTCTACCTTGCCGATATGAATCACAAACCATTCCGGAAGATAATTGTTATTTTTATGAGAAAAATAAAGGGTTACTTTTTTTTACTCCAGCTACCACAAAAGCCACGAAAACAAAAGTGTACCATATTAATACTTGTATAAAAAAGGGTCCAGGGAATTATATTTATCTACTTATCTGACAAAGTCATGTAGTCATGAATAATGTAGCTATTTAGTACATGTTACATTCTAGCTAGTCTAAGACAGTTTGAAACGTAATTAAAGACACAAGTGCATAAAGGTGTCATGTAATAAATTTATTAAACAAATGTATCTCATTGTATGGAGAAAATTGACCTTAAACATTTTTTATTGGACTTTTTACTTTATTGACATTTAAAATATTTTGTTTAACTAGTTTGTTATTATCTTGATTTTGCAACAAAGTAATTCCAGAATGAAAGAATCACTCATTAAGGTTAGTTTTATTAAAAAAAAGCAATTCTTGAAAAAATTTCACATGACACTTTTATCCATTTGTGTCTTCAATGGTATGTTCAGTTTGCGTGATAACTTTGTCAACAGTTCAGTGCATTTCACTATGTGATAGTTTTTATTATAAAGTTTAAAGCTCATCTGTGACCGTTGAAAAATGTCAGCTCTAAATATGTATACACAAAAGTATGAATAAATCTTGAAAAAAATGTTTCTTCGCAACAAAATGTGATAGATACATCCGCTTTGTTTCAAAATGTGTATAATAACATATGTTTTTCGAATATCCTAGCGAATCTGTTCAATTACTCTCGAAATGTTTGAATTTGTTTAGAAAAAAAAAACGTAACCCTTCGTTTTGCTATAAAATGCCCTTTGAATGAACCCTGTATATAGCTCAATAAAGTAGCAGTGATGGCCGCAAGACGGGTGTTTTGGGATAAACAATTAGAAATTATCAAAAACTACTTGACCAATCGACTCAAATTTTGTTGTGGTTATTTAGAAGTATGAAGCCTACGGCTTTGAAGAATTTCAAGTAGTTGTGTGGAATTATCGTCGCATTAGTAACAAGTGCCAAAACCTGCATTTTGCCTCGGTTTTCGGCCATAACTTATTTACTATTTGTAGGATCTTTTTACTTATGGACTAATTCTGTAGGTCACATAGATACCTAAAAATCTTATTTGAAGAGTTTTTTCGTTTCTGCCAACACTTTCGATTGGATCCCAAAAAAACACCTTTTCTCATTCTTCGTTGTTGAATAAAAAGTTTTCCCACAAAAAATGTTGTTTTGATCAACTTGCATCAATAAAATCAGACTTTACAATTATTTCGTAAACCAGGGGTATTTTCGTCTAATATGATTAGACTAGCAATAGCAACATGCAATTTATGTTGAAATCCCATTTCAAATAAAGTCAGGAAAACATAAAAATGATTTTGTGTTAAATCTGGTATGGGAAACAAATGACTAACTGATCATTTTAAGGCCTACATAGGAAATTCTGTTTGTTTAAATAAAGCTGATGCTGGAGGACAATAGATGAAAAGTCATATTAAAATTTCAATTTTGTAATCCTCTAGAGGAGAAAAAGTGGCAGTGCTAATCGGTAATTTATTTTCAAATCCCACGACAAATGAAGTCAGGAAAAAATTGAAACGATTTTGGGAAAGTACTTTGAATTTCGAAAATTTCAAAGCAGCATTTTGATAGCTACCTAAATACGCAACTTTGCCCCCATTTAAGCATCTTCATGTCTCTTTCTGTTTTCAAGATCCAAGTTAAAACTAGAGCTCCTTCCTGTAAAAAAAGTTCATAGTCTTGTTAGGTGCTTTCCATTTACAGACAGAGCACATACCAGACAATGCTACTTCACCGAAAAAGAAAACAGTACTGTTATTTATAATAAACCATGAATGCGCTGTTTGACTCCATCTTTGTCCTACGATTTAATTATGCCGTATGAATGTTAATATTAGCACAATCGGTAGCTTAAAAATTGTAGCACATTTGTAAATGTTTTCTTTCTAATTTGCAATTTTTGGATTATTTCTAATTGCCGTAGATGTGATATTTGCTCCACCACAATTGATGAGGCTATACTTCAGTGACTTTGCACTAACGTTTATGGTAAGAAAAGGTGTTTGATTTGATGTTGACTGAGTCGCTTGACCTACAGTGCATAATAACTTTTTAACTAAGAATGCAATCTGGATTTCCCATTTATGACGAATTTTTTCCTAAGATATACATTTTTGGTATTTCCGTGATTGTATTCTGGTATGACGAGCAGTCGTTTTAATACAACCTACTAAGGGATCACCCGCGTTTTGCTTTTTATGCCACGCAAAACATTTTGTATTCCACTGCACCTCTTACTTCGCACTACAAACATACTAGTGCATAATAAAACTGTGAACGTTATCCGAATATAATAGAAACAAAAACAGTTGCATAGATTTATTATTCCGAAAGTAGGCGATAGACAACTGCGAAAATTTGGGGTAATGGTAAAATTGATGGGAAGTAGATACCATGTTGCTTATTTTAAATGGAACACCCTGCATATTATTCAGTTTTGGATTCTGTGGAGGATTCTAAACACATTTATTACTAAAATGGAGATTGGTGCACTATTGCGCAGCGTCTGTTTCGCTCAAGCACAACCGTCGTCTGAGTCATTTATTCTTGACGTACGGGAACAAAAAGGAGGCATTGAGTATGAAATCAGGACTCTATAGGGGATGTGCATTAAAATCAATGTTTTGAGTGCTCAAATAGTCAATTGTTTCAAGAGAGTAGTGAGAGCGCTCGCGTTGTCTTGATGAAGAATGATTCGATGGCGCTTGTTGGTTTTCCCTATTTGATCGAAGATTTTCACCAAATACTCTACCTACCTTTAAAGGTATTGTTGCCACTGACCAGTTTTTTTTCGAAAAAAAAAAACAGGTGACGGATTTGGCTAGTATCATACAGTCGACTGCTATGTCCTTTATGGCTCATACACATAGATCCATTATTCATCACCTGTTACAATTTTATTCACGCCTTATGAAGCACTGCCGTTATATTTATTGAACATCTGTTTGCACCAATCGACAGGAGCCTCTTTTTGAGATTTTGTGCAATTATGTGGGATCCAACGAGAACAAACCGTTTTCACAACTAAATTGATCATGTAATATTTTATGTATGTCAGTGGAACTAATGCCTGGGAGAAGCTAGGATATTTGTTTAAGGCTAAGAAGAACTTTTCTTCGCATGACCTTCGCACTCTATACAAGGCCCAGATAAGGCCTAGCCTCGCTTACACGTTTGGAATGCTGCCGCCCCGACTACATTATTTATACAACCGCGGTGTCCTGGCTTTTAGGTTTCTGCCTGCGGGGCTGCGTCGGTATAAAAAAAACATTTAGGGTCTCCGACTTAAAATAAGTTCGTCCGTTGCAGTTCTTCCTGTATTTCCCAAAACGTGACAAGGTTTATAGATTTACCAACCATTATTCGTGTCAAAACTTCCATGAATACTGAAAAAGGTTATCTGAAAATGTGCCAAAAAAAATCTCACAATCCAAAACCCCATGTATGTCTTTGATGAGTTCAGAATTGGTGTGTCCCTAAACATAGTAATACCAATTAAAAAAATGCTAAAATATCTACTTTATATCTATAGATTATTCAAAATATAAAAACAAAATGCATTTTTGTGTATTTCCATTGTTAATTTGTTTTATTACGAATCATTCTGGAACATACTTGAAAATCTTACTCAAAATAGAACGTGTGTTATGGACGCATACATTGGTTAAAGTTTAAAAATATTTCGGTTTTGTTGACAACAAGTGTTCCGGAACACAGAAACAAGCAAAAATATGGCAGTATAAGAATATTTTTATGAAGTCGGATTATCTCAAGTCTCAGTATGTTTTATGCACACGTTTTTAGTCACAGCATCATTGCAACCTGCGTCATTAAGGGCCGACATAATGGAAGTGTTCACCTCGTTATCACAAGATATCACGACCGCAATATTTGATTTGTTGGACATATTGGATATGTCATCCATATTGTTTGTGAAACAGACAACTGTCAATTTAGTCGGGTGGCGATCTGATTTGAATGATGGCGACAAGCATCGCGGCTTGATACGCTGCGAGGTGAACTCCACCATGTCCGCACCTTTAGCATAAATCACTTTGTCAACCAACATAGTCATCAACCCACATAACACACCGCTACCTCAATAGAGTTATTTGCTTTCCAAATCCAAATGTATATAAATGTCTGTCTAAAAGATTAGATTGTATTACTTAATTTTTTTGTTTTATAAAAACAGGCCATCCCGCATAATTTTCGAGAAAAAAATATTTCGCAGCTGGTTTATAAAAAAATTCTTATTAAATCAAATGTCCGGTACAAAGGATGGATGTTTTTGAAATGGCTAGTACTCTCCGCCTATTCGGGCGAGAGTGGTGGAGAGAGGGCGATTCGACTCGAGCGTTCCTAACATTTTTATCGGTAGACATTATGGAGCAGTGGACGGTTGAGCATCGCGTTTTCGTGTTCTTCAGTTTTATCCGACGTAAGGAGTCTATTACGGCTGTTCAGCGTGAGTTTCGTTGCCACTTCAATATTCATCGGAATCGAGCTGTTCCCCCTCAAAACACCATCCTTCGTTGGGTTCGATCACTGGGCACACGTGGTGTACTGATCAACAAAAGACCGTCAGGAGCTCCACGAACGGTTCGAATCCTTGAAAATGTGGGACGCGTTCGACAAGGCCTCCTTCGCAGTCCGGCTCGATCTGATCGGCAACATGCTGCTGAACTTCGTCTTAGTGATCGTTCGGTAAGGCGTATTTTGCATATGGAACTCCTTTCACCCCTACAAATTGGCCATTGTGCAACAGTTACAGCATGGAAATTACCCACTACGAATGAACTTCGTACGTGAGATGGAAACACTTATCGAACAAAACGAGAACGTCATTTTGTTCATGATGAAGCTCACTTTCATCTTAATGCATGGTTAACCAGCAGAAACGCCGTTATTGGGCTAATGAAAATCCGCGACAGGTACATGAAAGACCGCTGCACACCCCAAAAAAGACGGTTTGGTGCGCTGTATCGCAAACTTCCATCATCGGCCCTTACTTCTTCGAAGATTGTAATGACAATGTTGTTACCGTGAACTCGGAGCGCTATGTCGAAATGATCATCAACTTCTTTTCACATGAATCATGACGACGACGTGTTCCATTCCGACGTGTGTGGTTCCAACAAGATGGGGCGACCGCCCACACAGCCAAAGCAACGATGAACGTTATTCGCCCTCTCTCACGTGGTCGCCTTATTTCCAGGTTTGGTGATGTTCATTGGCATCCTCAGTCCCCAGATTAATACATCTGCGATTTTTGTTTATGGGGACACCTCAAGGCTCGTGTATACGAGCACAAGCCCCGAACTCTGGACGAGTTGAAGTAGGCAATTCGCATGGAAGTCGCCCAAGTTGAGAGAACGATGTTGGAGAAAGTCTACGCGAACTTTCAAGAACACCTCCATCAACGCATCGTCAAAAGCGGTCACCACATGACTTATGATTACATGCAGTAATGGACAAATTAATATTGTGCTGTATTTTTTTTTAACTTGTTTTATTAATACACCAACCTGTATACATAATTCGATATAGCATAATACTCACTTATACATAAATAAATTCATTAGACTCCCTTCAATAAAAATTTAATTGAAAAAACTGGAACTATGAAGGACAAAAATATATAGACAAAGCAAAACAATTATGGAAAAAAGAAGCAAAGTTCATTGAATTATGGAAAACCAACCATGTTTGTGTTAATATTTTATAGCATAACCATTATTATCAATCACCGCCTGGCATCGTCTTGGCATAGATTGTAGAAGTTTCTTGATATAAGATTCATCAATATGTCTCCACTGTTGCTCTAAAGCGGCAAAAAGTTCACCTTAATTGAATAATTTTTATCTCGTATTTGCTTATCTAAGTATTCCCATAGATTTTCAATGGGGTTTATATCGGGAGACTCTGAAGGCCATTTGAGAACTGGTATTTTTTCATCCAGAAAGAATTTCTTTGCGAGATTTGAAGTGTGCTTCGGGTCATTATCTTGCTGGAAGGAAGGGCATATTATCTTCCATATGACATAACATGACATGCTTTAGTATGTCTGTGTATACAAACTTATCCATAATGCCATCTATTCTATGTAAAGGTCCCATCCCAAACCCCGAAAAGCACTCCCAAACCATAACAGACCTGCCTCCATGTTTGACAGTGGGAAAAGTGTACTTGGGGTTCAATCTTTGTCCACTAGGACATCAAACGTAAAGAACATCATCTGATCCAAACATATCGTATTGAATTTGGATTAGTCACTGAAACATACCCTCTTCCAGTCACAGATGCTCCAATCAAGATGCAATCGTGCAAATTGTAATCGGTCCTTACGGTTTTTCCTCGAGATTAGCGCCTTCTTACTCGGGCGACGTGCAAATAACTTCAAATCACTTAATCTTCAACTTATAGTTTTCGTAGAAACACTGGCAATTCCCTTTGTCTCGATTTCGGCTTTTATTTGTCTTGGGGTTTTAAACGGATCTTTGGACGAAGTTACTTTTATTAATCTAACTGATATAGCATTTAGTTTTCTAGGCCGAGGCAATGTCGACTTGACGTTGACCATCTTTGTATAAGTCAATGATCTTAGTCTTCACATCGAAAGAAATTTCTGATTCTATTCCACAATACTTGATGAACACAAACTAATCCTCTTCTGACACGAAACTGTACTAATCTAATGTTGAAAGGAATTTGTCTACATATTTTTGTCCCACATAAAAGAGTGCTTATATTCAGACTTGTATTGTGTTTATTGCAGATAATGTAAAAACAAGGAGTTTTTCTACTAATAACGCATTTGTTTATGGAGCAATGAAGTATGAATTCATTTTCTAAAGGAATTTAGGAAAGTATTCATATTTGTCTATATATTTTTGTCCATTACTGTATGTTTTATTTTCATCGGGAACGTTGCAAAACATTCTGCTTTTATTTTAGGTAGGGGTGGGTTGGGGGTTTTCGTAAAAGTCAAATATTAGAACGTTTAGCAAAACATATGTATTCCAAATTTAATTTAAATATCTGAAAAAAATATGTTTTAAAAAGAAAACTTTGACTTCTCTAACGGACAAACAAAGTACTTTTGCATAGAGGTAAATCAGATCGAAACGACTTATTTTGAGTCTAAAAATATTTGTTTGGTACTTCTATGTCTTACGGAATATGGGGACATGTATATTCAGTCACTGTAACAACACCCTCAAAACGAAAGTACCAGTTGTTTCATTGGTAACTCAAAAGCAACGCAGCCGAAGTCGAAATCAAGTTGTCGTCGGGTTGCTTTTGGCGAGAACAGCATTATCTGAGTCGACCTTCCCTTGGGTTTGTGTATATGTGTGTGTTGTTTTTTTCATTTTCACGCCATATTATATGTGTGTAGACATCTTCCTTTCAAAAAAGTATTTAAAACTATATTTCACAGAGCTTCCATGGGACTGCAGCTCTGGAGCAACTGATCAGCTCTGAAGAAGAGGATTTGACTTTGTCTGCAGATGAGGGCTTCAGCCCACCAACGCCTAGTCCGTGCGAGCTTAGCCCAGCAAGAGCGTCCCTAAGGAACGTAATCTGGGAACGAATACGACATTAATCATGCAAATAAGTCAATATTATCGAACTTTTATACGCAGGAACAAGGTTTGTGCACGGGATACATTCATTCTATCAGACTCCAGATTAGTTTTAAAACATTTGTCATTTTGACTATTATATTCTCTTTGGTCGCATTCATTACGAGTTGCTACTGATGCGTTCATTAGAGCTTTATGGACAATCACTTTACCGTACATGCAAAAGCTAACATTAACTTTGACATACAAGTCATTGAGCACTTAAATGCTGAACAATTTTTACTTGGGTTCAAATGTTGGTTGTCATTTCTCATTCCCCTCAACCAATTCCTACCTGTATCGCAGCTCAGACCCTGTAGCTGACTTCTTGTGACTGACGTTTAAAACTCATAATTTGTCAAATGATCGCAGAATTTAACTCCTTTGAGAGTGAGTGTAACAATAGTGATTTTAAAATAAACGGAGATTTTCCAAAGAACAAGATAAGTGTGATATGGTTTCAAGAAGAATATGACTTACATAGGAAATTGAAAGGAAATACCAAATTTGACAATTTCGTTCGTTGAACCGCTGCAAACCTATATCCATTTACTACAGTAACATATTTGACTAATAAATAATAATATTCTTAATAATTAATGTATTACTATTAAGTATGCAGGTTATTATCAAGTTCCGTTATAGATAAATACTCTTATATGTTTGTTAGGAGTAGAACACTTTTCAAACATAACTTGCTTGAGTTCTGCCATGCTGATGTTAATTGTTGCTATATAGTTAGTATACTTAAAAATGGCAAAAATGATAAAATTCTTGAATCATACATATTTGTGTTACCGAAAAACTAAATGAGGGAAAATGAAAAATGGCCAAAAAGTAGGTGCTTATTCACATCCATACACCACTGACGTCGTAATGTGTACGAGAGAGAAGCGTGCAATTCGTTTTTAGAAGCTACTCGTTGGCTAGCAACCCGAGTGACGAGGCCATGGATGCAACTGCGGCTTGCCGCGTTGCCACCGGCGCACTCTTTCTAACATACATTTTTCACGCTACTCGGTCTTCTATCTCGTACACATTACGACGTCAGCCAAATTTGAACCTCACCGTAAACGTAAAAATCCGTACACGTTCCACAAGTGAAACGGCGGGAATGGAAGCTAGTGTCACATAAGGTTAACGTTAAAGTTTACTTTTGCGATGAGTATCTATCTTGTCTTTACGGCACTAGTAGGGCTACATAATGATGAACGCGACCCTTAATTTCCTGCAAAACTCAGTTGTACAATGAGAAGAGTGTGATTTGTCGTTTATTTTCACGTTTTCATAAAGTAATACTTTTAGTGTAAACATCTTTATTTGATTCTTAACTATATAATAGGTTTTTCCAAGATGACTATCGAAGCCAATTGGGTGCTTGTGTTAAACCTTTTGCTTTTTGATTACAATATGGACCTCTAACGTCATATCAAAAGCAGAATACCACAATAATTGTAATTCGCATTTTTGTTTGTATCTGGTTGTACCTGCAAAACCAATGTTTTCTGCGAAGTTTCATAAACAAAACTGCAAATAAGATATGCCCATATTACTGTATATTTAACATAGTAGTGCCGTATTAACATGACAAAAGGTAGAGATACGTGTGAATATCAACAGAGAGATTATTTATAGCACTTATGTTATCACTAATATGTTGTACTGAAATTAAACGAAAAGTAGGCTGTTATGGGTAATAATCAGAAAATTTGCCGATCTGAAAATAAATGAATAAGCTTAAATGTGTAATATTTGTCCCATTATATGTATTTCTAATTATTATGTTATAAGATGGAGCATTAATGAACTAGGTATCTATAAAGCGTCTGAAGATTGCAGAGTGTTGTAGGCATATTTTCAAAGTAACATTTTTATTCAAAGCTGTCATATATGAAACATGAAATAAAACAGCATTACAGACTTTTTGTCACTGCCATGTTAAACCATGTTGGTTAACTACATATAGAAGTGTGGTCATCCCTGTCCAAGACCTACGACTTTGCTCAGTTTCAGCCCTCTAAGTGCAATCATATTTAAAGAGCGCGAAAACCGTCCTGATTCACTTACGTTAATAACCATCTATTATACTCGTCCGTAGGCGCTTTTAAGATCGATTGTGTATTGATAATCTATCATGTGATTAACGTTGCCGTTTTGTATTGTTTTCCACGTTCAATCCAAACATGCTTGTATTATTGTGACAGTACTGTGATACAGTTATTAGCAAAATTGATTTCTTATTTAGACGTTTGAAGACAGGTAATTTCAACAAGAACGACATCCTTGAGCAGTAGTGTCTAACCACAGTATTTTTGTCGAAGTGCGAAGTAAATTAATAGCCTAATATCCGACACTGCTAATCGAACAAACTTGCAGAAATGTGTTATTGGTATCTGTTGCTTTAAAAGTAAAAAAAAAGTTAAATGAATCAGCTGATGTAACCTTTATATATTTAGAATCGACCATACTGTTTTTGACTCTAAACATACCAATCACCAGTCAAAGATTGGTTCTGAACTTTTGCATTGAAGATGAGCAATCATCTTTTCAGCTGTGGTAGAAATAGGCACAAGCTCTGTCTCAGTGAAGTTGGCCCAACTATCAAAACTGTTTTTTTATGAAATTTGTTATATAACAGGAAACGTATTAAAAACTAAAATGTATTTCTAACATACGATATTTCTATTTAATATTAGCCTAGCAGCAAATCACCACCGCGTTACAGTTGGCAGTCATCTGGTGTAAAACTGTTCCAAATTTTTTGGAGACGGGGTCGCAGTTCTGGAACGGTTCTTGCTGGATTCGATCGGAGTTTTTTCTTCATCATAAGCCACAAGGTTTCAATCGGTGATAGATCAGGATCACCCGACGTCCATTTATTGTTTCCTAACATCCAATCTTTTACTTTTTTAGCCGTATGGCAAGCGGCACCATCTTGTTGCAAGATACATTCATTATTGTTTAAACGCATTTGTTCAGTTTGGGGTATTAAGTTATTTTGAGACACATCAGCAATCATAATAAACGCTTCTTCTTTCGTTCTTATGACTCGACTCCTACTATCACCAAAGTATACTTCAAATCTGGCTTCATCAGTCCAAATAATGGAGTCCCATTGGCTTAGAGATCATAATTTGTGTTCTTTGGCCCAAGCTAGTCTGTTTTTCTTCTGAATATTTTTCAGTAAGTGCTTCTCTTTTGCCTAGAACTACTGAATTAAAAACGAATAATAAAAAAATAATTTAAGCTAATCTTGTAAGTTTTAAATCCCAGTTTTTGGGCAGCTCTGTGACAAGTTGCTCTTGAAAACTTCTTTGTGGTTGCCTGATTCCATAACATTTTCAATTCGTTATAATTAGCACGCCGATTTTTCCTTGATAATTCGTTTTAAGGCTCTTAAGTTGGTATTGGAATAATGCGGGCGACTTCCAGTTCTGGGTCTTTGAGCCACAGATCCCGTGATTTTGTACAATTTAATAATATTTCGAATGTACACATCGATTTGTTATACACTGTCAGCGATTTGGGAAGCATTTTCGCCTTTTAATTGCAAGTGAATGATCACTTTTTTCATTTCGTCAGAAACAGCTTTACCACGAGCTATTTCTAATTGTTAACTACAACACGAATTCATTGAAAGTTGATTTAAACATCAAAAATCAGCCTCTTAGCAACGTAAAATGTTATCATTTGTTTTACAAAACCTACCTTTATTTTATCGAAGCGAATAAACAGACCATTCAACTTCAGTTGTCTCCATCATGTATTTTGCTATACACAAATCATTTTGCAGAGAAGACAATTTCGTAATGAAAACGCTTTGAAATAGCTGCGTCTGTTTTGTTATCGTCCCATAAACATTTAAAGAAACTAAAAATATTATATTTGAAATATAATTTTAAGTAGCCCTCAAATAAATTCACAAATATGTTTTGGGGCGTTGGGCCAACTTCACTGACACAGGGCTCGTATTCATTAAGTGTTGGTATGTTTTGTGTTTGGCTCTCTCAGCTTTTCCATTATCGTTTTTTCGATTAATAACCGTAAGAATGAACGTCACAGATCTTTCAAAAATTCGAAATACTAACATCACATCGATCTGTTTTTTCAATTTAAACGTTGCTGCAAGTTAAAAATAGAATAATCTTCCGTCATACGGCACAAACATGATATGATTGAAATGTCTGGATATGTGGTAACATCTTTTAGTTAGACTTTACCGTCATAGAAGTTGTTTTTTTACATGTCACACCACAATCTAGAATATTTTTATTCGTAAAACAACTGTTTTCAGCATATTATTTAGCTAACAGTTTTTTTTTCAAGAGTATCCATTACCTTTGGACGTCTACTGAGGTGAACGCTTGATAAAAAAGTGACAACTTTGTATTAAATGCAGAAATAATGTTCCAAGAGACTTTGATGTTGTGAAGTAATAAATCAGGTGTGAATCAGGTAAAACTCAGGATCAACTCCAGATCTGTGTATACCTAACATAGTTAAAAAGCGTTTATCTTGTTTTATTCCTACCTGACTTGAAATATAGTCATGATCATTAGCATTCATCTTGCTTGTAGCATTTTTTCTTGTGTGAATGAATGAATCATGAAATTTGAGGCATTCCGACCACCATGAGGAGCCAGGGCATAGGCCGCTTAAACGGACCCTTATGAACCTCTACATTCCTTAGACATCAAGCCTCGCTTTTCTAGCGAAGTTGAGTATGGCCTTGAGTTCAAGCTCCTTGACGTCTTGAGGATCCAAAGTAATGGACCCCAGTATAGTCTGCCTGTAGTAGCTCAGAGCAGAACGACACAGAACGTGCACCGAGGTCTCTTCCTCTACCTCGCAGCGCTCTCAAGGGATCCTCAGCCAACCCCATCACGTGCAGGTGGCGCTTTAACGTGTTATGGCCAGACACAGTCCCACCTGCAACCTTAGGTTGGCGTTGGCGTTATCCAAACATAAGCAGAAAAGTCCATTCTTAGAGCTAGGCCCTACAATGAGTTCCCGTGCCTGACGGAGATTTCTGGAGATACTTCCCCATTTCTGAGAGTGGTGTCTTGTAATCCACTTCTCCATTTTCCCCCTAACTCTTTGCGCTTCTTGTGTGCTAAGTAACTTTTTGTTAGTAAGTATGAATCCATCGCGTACAAAAGACCGCAACAAAATACTCTAGCGTTGATAGATTCGTCAGATATGTGGTATTTTCAAATGTCAAGATAATCAGCTGTTATTTCTCTCGTTTGACGTAATGGATTCTCGTGAGAAAGACTATATATTCCATATACTATACATCACCCCATATTAGTTTGTCCATTCGCGTTATATGTTAAATTTTATAGTTATTTGAGTTTGATCAGTTTGTTCAACACTATTTTTCTTGTTTTTACTATTTTGTATTCAACAAACTCTTCAAACCTAAAAACTACACAATTGCTGTTATTTTTTCTCAGTGAATGTAGTGTAGTTTAAAATCATGAGTTTAAAAAGAATTATCACGTTTCCTTGGCGTTAAATTTGTACAAAGTATATATTACCTATTTTTAACAGAATGTGATTTTACAATCTGAGATTAAATATGTGCAAATACTTTAGAATGTTAGATTTAGTTGAATCTGTTAGGCTTGTTATTTAACATTTATTATTGATCATTTTTATGTGGTTTGTTTTTGAGCAACACTATTAAATTTGACAGTAATCTTGTATTGATTATAAATATATATGAACTATTTTCTATGTGAATCTGTTTTACTATATTTGCTTTATAAATGCATTCAAATTTTAATAGACTAATTTGTCCACAAAAGAAACCCTTATACACGTTTAAGATAAATCATTAAGACACCTTGGAAACCAAATCCGCATGGTGGCAACACAAGTACCAAATGCTCACTGTTCTGCGAACACGCTATCCATCATGGTGCGATAAAGCAACGTTGCCTGAACGATCTATATATGTTTGTGTCGACAAAAAAATATTCGACGGGTCAATCCAGCAGTCTTCTGTTGTTTCTTCAGGTAGAACCACTGGCCTAGCGTTAATCTGATAACGTGCTTCCGATACTCTCACATCCCTTGTCGAGCCGGTAGGTCGAAAATGTTACTTGACCAAGTTTGTTTGTTTGTTTTAAGATTTATTTAGCATGATTGCTACAATTGCATTCTTTTAAAAAAGTAGAACAATTCCGTAACATACAGATATTTATAAAAACAAAATTTACATCTATAAGAATTTTCACTGTTCATGAAATATTCCTTAAATTTACTTTTAAACATCTTTAAATTACAAGTAGGCTTTATATCATTATTTAGTTTATTAAATTCAAGTAATCCTTTATGAAATATTTATTTGCTAGTTAAATTACTATTACAATTTTGTAAATGAAAATCTATATTTCCCATAGTAATAATACTCAATTCTATGTAGTGTTCTAAATGCTGTGACAAAAGATTATTTTTTATTTTAAATATAAAAATAACTAAATATGATATGAAATTTTGTATAATCAACCACTGCAATTCTTGTGACATAGATTTTATTTTGGTATACTTACTTTTGTTCAATATTATTCTCATAGCTTTATTTTGCAAGACATGTAATTTTGAGAATTGGCAGTGAACAAGATAGTTGAACGATATAGTAAATGCGGCAGAATAATTGTATTGTAAACTATTTTTTTGGAATATGTACTAAGACTATGAGAAGCCCTATAAAAGTAATTTGTTTATTTGACAATTTTTGAAATAATGTATTCATAGTGATCCTCAAACTTTAGTTCACTATCAATATATATATAATTAAATATTTCATTGATTCAACATTTTCATACATTTAACCAATTTACGATTTTTGCCAAGTCAGAATTTAGCATTTTTAAAGCAGTGTCTATATTTTCATCTGATATGTATATTAATGTATCATCTGCAAATATCTGAGGTTTACAATAATCTAAAATATTACAAACGGCATTAATGTATAAAATAAATAGTAGTGGACCTAGTTGACTACCTTGTGGTATACCAACTGAAATATTTTTTGATCTTGATAAAGTAGATCCAATTTTGTTTTACTTCTGTCAATTAAATAGTTTTGTAGAATTTTGAATACAGATCCTTTAAATCTGTAGTGATGCAATTTTGTAAGTAAGTTATCCCTGTCAATAGTCTCAAACGCCCTCTTGTAATAGAAAAACACTGTTACTGTATGTTTCCTATTGTCCATACATCTCCTCCAGTCCTCTAAAACCATTTGTGTTGCCGTTTCAGTTGAGTGTTTCTTGCTGAATCCAGCTTGAAATTTGGTTGAAATGTTATTTCCCTCAATAAATTCGATGATCTATTTTCTTCAAAAACTCTTTCAACATCTGGTAGATCATTTATTGGTCGGATATTGGTGAAGAACTCAGAATTCTAAACTTTAGAAACAGGACTTATGGTAGAACACTTCAGTTTTGTTGGAAATTCTATTTTAAACAGTAATTTATCAGGATTAATACTCTTGCTCCAATAATATCAAAACATTAATTAAGCATACTTTTAGACAAAATCTCACTCTTATTTTGATTTGATTTAATGTTTGATATAATCTTCTTGAGACGATTAATGTTTATTGTTCTAAACTCAATGAATGATACATTATAATCTAAGCTAATAGGACTTTGGTTGGGATCCCCGTCAATAATTGATTTTAAAATGTCGTTGACACTTTCTTCATTTGTGATTACCCCATCGTCGAATTTCATTTTAGATAATGTACTTTTTCTAATAGGAGAAACAATGTTTTTCAAAGTTTTCCACATATGTTTGCTATTATTTTTACTCTGATCAATTTTGGCATTGTAATATTTTGTCTTTTCATCTCGTAGAACTGCTACAGATTGGTTTCTTGATCTTGTGTATTCTAACCAATCATTTTCACTTCCAGTAATCATAAACTTTTTATAATTGTAGTCTCTTTTTGATTTAGAATCCTTGAACGTCTGCGAGAACCAAGGTATTGGATTTTTCCTTTTTATAAATTGTTGTCTTGACTGTAGACTTCTTTTATGCAAACTTCAACATTATCCAATAGGCTTGTATCATATCTTGCAGTAAAAGAGCTTTTCATAATTTTACGTAGTTAATATTAGTAATTTCTTCCAATTTGTTAGCATCAAATTTACTTTCAACTTCATAACATATCCATGAATGATCACTGATCTTAGGAGTATGCATAACTTTTGCAATTAAATTTTGTTCGTTCGTTATTATCAAATCTATAATTGTTCTTGATTGATTTGTAATTCTGGTGTGATCATAGACTTTTTGCCATAGTCCATAAAAACTGAGTACCTGTTTAAATTCCTTTGCGTAGAAGTCTTGATTATCAAAATTTATATTAAAATCACCCAAATGTACCGTGATGCAGTTTCGATAAAAATGTTTTTCACAGATATTTATTTCCAGTTGGAGACCTGTAGTAAATGTGTAAATTATAATTGTGCTTAAGATTCAATTCAACATTGATATACCACCATTGGTATTCAACAGCTACAATTTCATGTACTCTAGTTTATATTTCACATAAAATATATAATATACCACCTGTAGTCTGGAAATTGCTTGCTCTTAAAATTTGATAGCCTTCAAAAAAAATGTCTTCATCGTCAATATCCTCTGTGACATGTGTTTCAGTTGAACAGAGCATCACCGGCTTCACTGACATCAAGTAATGTAAAACCACATCTTTTTCAAATAGATATCCTTGAATATTTATATGCTAAATAAAATAGTTTGCATATTCTTTTATCTGTAATTGCTATGGTTTATCACTTTGGCTAGTGTTTTTTTATGCTCCATTTGTACTATGCAGCAAATTCTATTAAAGGGTGAATGGTGTATGTCGATTTTTTTATATTATGAATTAGATTCTTTACAATTTGGACAAGTCCTTCAATTTTCTGGTATTTCACAGTTCTGCAGTTGATAACAACTTCCACCACACTTTGAAACATCTCAAAAATTGTAAATACATCCATAGATATAAAAAGTACACCTTTCATAACTTCACTAAATGCATACTCTCTAGTTCCGAGGTAGCCTGATATCGTTGCTTCTTTTTTTTTTTTTAATCATCACCGCTCTTATTATTGAATTAGATCTAATAACGCTGTTTCTTTCTTTTATGTCTTTAATCAGTTCTTTTTGCCCATTTCTTCACTAAAACTGACGACTTTAATCATAGGTAATTTCTTTCGACCCACGTTGACTTTATAATTTTGTCCAATGTTTTTTTCCACTTCTATTTTCAATTTAGATACATCGTCATTATTCTTACATACAATTTTCAAAGCTCCTTTCAAATAGGTAATTTTTGTTATAGAAACATTCATTTTGGCGGGGTTAATATATATACTAAGTGACATATAAATCCGAACACCCAGTTTAAATGGTTTTATTTTAATAAAAGTTGGTGAATGTATTCATCTTACTGTAAATAACAAGTGAAAAAATGTTCAGCCTTATCAGTTGGACATTCCGGTTTTTATACTGCTTTTTTTTTAATTCACTAACTCTCTAAAAATTAATATTTCAGCCGCAGTAAAGAATCAACGTTGGCGGATTTTGGTTCTTGACATCCGTTACGATCGGTTACGATGCCTAGAGTACGGAGACCTGTACGATTTCGTCAACTTAGTGAGTTTGATAGGGGCCGTATAGTGGGACTTCGGGAAGCTGGACTTTCTTTTCGGGCAATTGCAGTTAGAGTGCAAAGAAGTGTAGACACTGTGGTTAGGTGTTGTCAGGCATGGCTTCGAGAAGGCCGTACGCAAAGAGCAAGGGGCACTGGACGCCGCCGTAGAACAACAGACCGTGAAGATCGCCGCCTAAGATTATTGGCCTTAAGGGACCGTTTCTCCACTACCAGGTCCATTGCAAATGAATGGTTTGCAGAACACGGAAGACCTATTGGCATGCGAAGAGTTTACCGACGAATGAGAAGTTTTGGCTTGTTTTCATACCGGCCACACTGGGTCCTCCCTTTAACTCGAGAACACCGACGTAATCGCCTTGAGTGGTGCAGACAACGGTCACTCTGGGATCAGGAATGGAACAGTATTGTCTTTAGTGACGAGTCTCGATTTTGTTTAGGCATGCACGATGGTCGTGCCAGGGTTAGAAGGCGACGTGGTGAAAGGAGGAATCCACAGTTTTTTGTTGAAAGACGTGTTCATCACACTGTTGGAGTTATGGTTTGGGGTGCTATAGCTTATGGTTCCAGGTCACCTTTAATCTTCATCAGAGGTAACATGAACGCGCAGCGTTGTATCCACGAAGTTCTAGAACCCCATCTTTTACCCTATCTTGACACCCTGGCAGATCCAAATTTCCAACAAGATAATGCCCGACCACATGTTGCAAGAGTCACAATAGACTTCTTTCAACATAATGATGTCACATTGTTACCATGGCCACCAAGATCTCCCGACTTATCCCCAATTGAGCACGTGTGGGATATGATGGGTAGGAGATTGCTCAATTTGCAACGTCCTCATCAGACTCTAGAAGCACTTCGAGAGGAGTTGGTGGTTGCCTGGAATGAGATACCACAGGAGGACATTGACCACCTGATCAGAAGCATGCCTAGGCGCGTTGGAGTATGCGTAGCACATCAGGGTGCATCCACACATTATTAAGGTCAAAGGGCTTTAAAGCAGAGCAATCATTTTGAAATTTTTATCATTTACTTATTATGCTTCATTAAGTACTTATACAAAATTTTATTAAAATAAAACCATTTAAACTGGGTGTTCGGATTTATATGTCACTTAGTATATTTGCTCAATACTTTCTTTGTTTGAAGGCAATTTTGATTTCCAGTTACTGGTTTTATAACAATTGTATTTTGTGGTTCAGATAGAGAAACAACCACATTGTTAATATTATTGGATTCCTTAAATGCCATTTTTATTTCTTCACTTGGATCAATATTTCGTCCATTTTTCGCAACATCACTAAAAGTTAGGGACTGCTCTAGAACACCCGCTTGTATTTGTGGTATTAAGTTAACAACTGAATGTTGCTGTCTTGTATTTTTGCATACGATTTACATGGCTTTGTCATTTTCGTTGTATCTTCAATTTGCCTTAGTAATGGTTCAATCTTTTCATATAATTCCTTGATCAATTTTTCTTGATTTGATATTGTATAGTCTTTTGAGTATTTCCTTTAAACAAAAACCTTTCTAGTCCAATATTTTCTCAGTTTCTACTTTATCACTATCTTCCGCATCATTTAGTGTCTCCATATAGGATAGATCCTATCTTCTGGAAAAGACTTGACCTACTAAATCTGACAAATGTCTGTCAAAAAATCCTGCACCCAAAAACTAGAATGGTTCTTGCAGCGGCTCCTCCACCGCCTATCGCGGTTCACCAAATTTAGCTGGAACACACTTCCTCTCCAATTAGCAACACAGAAAGCAATTGATTCCACTCAAAATCAGCAAAATTTCAGTTTGTTCGTAAATAATTATTTCTTCAAAGACATTTTCAACATGTTTTATTGCCCGCATATTATATATATATATATACATACAACCCAGAATTCTTAACTTTCGAAACAGAAGTTATGACAGAACTCTTCAATTTTGTTGAAAATTCGCCATATTTTAAACAGATTTTAGACAAAATCTCACTCTTATTTTGATTTGATTTCAGTTTTAATATAATCTTCTTAGGACGATTAATGTTTATTGTTCTAAATCTAAACTCACTGAATGACGCATTGTAATCTGATCTAATAGGACATTGGTTGGGATCCTCTTCAATAATTGATCTTATAATCTCGTTCATCTTTCTATGAAATATGTGTATTCATTCGATCTGCTATTATCTTTTCATTTCCCCATCGTCGAACATTATTTTAGATAATTATAATTTATATTTATATTATATAAATTATAAGGGATTTCTTCTAATAAGAGAAACAATGTTTTTCAACGATTTTTTCCATATCTGTTTGCTATTATTTTTACTGTCATCAATTTTGTAATATTTTTTCTTTTCATCTCATAGTATTGATACAGATTGGTTTCTTGATCTTGTGTATTCCAGCCAATCATTTTCACTACCGGTAATCATAAACTTTTTAAAATTGTTCGAAAATCGGAAGGATATTTATATCAATTATCGAAGCCATACGCAACTATGAGGTTTGCATTGTTGTGGATGGTCACAGATGCCATACTAGCTACATACTTCTTTTCAACATCTGCCAACGGACAGTCAACATACATAATTACATACCTAAATGGTTATGCATCCTGTATACAGGGTGGCGCATCGAAAACGAAACAGACGCATTTACTGGCAGCTCAGTTTTTTTTTTTGAAAAAACGCTCAGACTCGTCGATTTTGTTTTCGAGGGGGACACAAGTTTGGCAAAAAATCACGTTAACACGTGCAGACCCCTGGGCGGGGGTGACACCAACCCTAAAATCTTAAATGGAAAGGGGGGTCGAGTAATACCTTATTTTAAAGGTCTTTCAATTCCCTTTATAATGATATAAAATGCATGAGCTTCAGTTCAGTAGTTTTGAAGATTTATTGATTTAAAGCTTAAAGTAGAATTTAATAGGTACATCAGATTAGTTTGTACTACTTTCAGAAGAAATTTACTTAATAAGTAAATGCTTTTCTTCACTATGCCCATGGTTTGTTTATCATTTTGTTGTTGAAAATAGCTATTGGAGCGTTTTTTTTGTGTCAAAAAAGTTATTTCTTGAAGAAAGATGAGGAAATGTCTCGTACTTATTTTAAATAGGAATTTAGTACATAGTTTGCGATTGATTTGACCAAACTTTGTTGCTAAAATAACTTGTAATGCTTTATTACATAAATTAACCATGGTATATTCCACAACAGAAAGAGTTGAAAATATATGCTCGTGTTTGGCGACAACGGATATACTCCGCCTTATCGGTTCATCGCATCGGAAACAAAAAAGCGAAAGAATTTGAAACGCTGATCACGATGTTTTTATTCAGTCTGTTTCAGTCGGTAACGCGTGAGTGAGTGTTTGCTGCGTGGCTCAAACGAAATAAAAAATGGCACATATTTATGCGGATCGGTTTCTCAATCGAGTGCAACCAACCCCTCGTGCCTTTGTTAATGTAGTACAACGGGCTCGTGAATCAAGCGACTTAAGACCTCACAGGGGACTGCATGCCGGTGCTCCAAGACCTCACGATCAAATACAGGTCCGCACTGAAATACTTGTCGGGAGGATACTTTATAAAATAAGGTAAAAACATTTTTTTTATTTTTGCACACATATTTTGGTTTATCTTCCTTCTACAATCACTATCTGAAAATTAATGACTCAACTTCAAAGTCACCCTGTATATCTCCATGAGTATTTCCATGAAGAGAATGAAAATAGCGGTCCCCTGTTCCCTACTTCGTGCGTAATGGAGAAGGTAGCAGATGCGCTGAAGATTAGTCTGCGCAGTGTTCAGCGAATAAAATCAGAAAATAAGAAAGGTTTACATATAGTAACACATGGAGAAACTCACAAAATCAAAAAATACAAGATCGATGATGCAAGTGATGCCGTCAAAACAGAAATTAGGAATACTTTCTACGATATGAGAAGTAAAGGACAGTAAAAACAACCTCTGCGCTCAAGATCCGCCCATGGTACGGAGACTCGATGTGTTTTCTTATTTCATATGGCGTTGATGACGAAAGCGACAAGAACGGTGACGACAACTTTACCTTCGTGTCGAATTCACATAAAAAAAGTAACAAAGTCAGCCTTGGTTGTCAGCAATCAATCCTTCCCTCCCTCGCCTAGAACTTCTAGAAGCCACCTTTTAAGTGGATTAATTAGATTTAAGTCTTTCGTACCTAATCTTCCAGTCGCAATAAATTAAATGTTGGCATTTTCTGTTTCACAAGTTGCATTACATTGGATCACATCCTTCCCGCAGAGCTTTGTAGCAAATAGTGTCAGTCACATACAAGATTTATTCCGAATGTACCGTGGTATCATACAGGTATAGCGTGTATCGAGAACCCTGCAGATTGCGCTAGCAGAGGTTTAACGACAACACATCTTGTCAATGGTTCCTTGGTTCACATTAGATAACTTTGTCTACTGTCGATTGGAAAAAGTTTATCGATGGAAGTTCTAATACCAGACTAGATGATGTCGTTAAGGAAGAAAAGCAAAATGATACAATGGTTCTTACAGCCAAGATTCAAACAGAAAACTTTTTTCAGTGATTAATTAATGATCTAATTTAAACGCAATTCAAATAATTTGTTGTCTTACTCTGGTAATTCTTGTCAGAAATTCAATATGTTCCATTTCGGATTCATTTTCAGCGTTCAAACTACACAAAGCTTTGTTAATTCTGGTGAAAATACCTCTTGTCCAGAAAGACTGTTTTTCAGATACAATTTTTAAATTCAAAAACAATCTATTGCCTAAGCCATTACGGAAGCTATCGCTTTTTAAACAAGTCTGGTTTAATTAGAGTGGGCGTACGATTAAGAAATTTTGAGCTTTCCTTCTATGCCAAACATCATGTATTGCTGTCTACAAATCATAGCCCAACAGACCTTAACAATAAACATAGGGAACATTTTGATCCAGGACCAATCAATCGATGGCTAATTCGTCAGAAATGTTGGATTTTATCTTCGCGCAGATCTATCCTAAAGGTTTTTTCACAATGCACTCGATGCTTTCGCTAAACACTCACACTATTACGTAGCGGCAGTGTGCCTTTGTAAACACCTGCCTTATTTTGACATCTACGCATGCGCAGTGAGGCATTAATATGGATAAAGGACGTCGTTATTTGAGCTATGATAAGGCGGGCTTAATTAGGCGTTCTTGTCACGCCGATTCTGCATCCAGGCGAATCGGCAGAGTATTACGTATCTTGAAAAGAGGCTATGTCGGTTTTGACATTACACAGGTTTTTTGTGATATTATGTAGGATTTTCTACTAGATGTTGTTCACTTGATGTGCACTGGTTCTGTAATTGTACGTGTCGCCTAAACATCATGACGCTTCAGCCAGCAATGTTTGGCTCTGATCATATTAGCAAATTTCCCCGAAAGTTTGATGCAAGTTGTTCAAGGGGATATTTAAAACATGGTCGCATAAAATGGGTGCACCAATTTTTGTGGAAAAACTTTTTATTCGACGATAAAGAATGAGAAAACGTGTTCTTTGGGATTCGATCTGAAAGTGTTGGCTGGAACGAAAAAACTCTTCAAATAATATTTTTAGGTATTTACGAGACCTACAAAGATCTGCCTAATATCAAAAAGATGTGGCCAAAAACCTAGGCAAAATTAAGGTTTTGACACTTGGTAATGCAACGATAATTTCACCCAGATACTTGAAATTCTTCATATCCTTAGGCTTCATATTTCTTAATAGCCACAACAAAATTGTAGTATATTGGTCAATAGTTTTTGAGAATTTTCAATTGTTTACCCAAAAACACCTGTTTGCCGACCATCAATAGTAGTTTATTTAGCAATATACAGGGTTCGTTCAAAGGGCATTTTATAACAAAATACACGAAAACTCGATATAGATCGCAAAGATAAATGTTATTTTTCGGCGAACAACAAAGTGTTACGTTTTTCTCTTCTAATCAAATTCAAAGATTTCGTATTTGTGAGTAATTGGAACAGATACGCTATGTTATTCGAAAAGCACGTTATTATACACATTTTGAAACGAAGCGGATGACTATGAAATTTGTTGCGAAGAAAAATTCTTTTTTCAAGATTTATTCATACTCTTATGTATACATACTTAGAGCAGAAATTTTTACACAGTCTCAGATGAGCCTTAAAGTTTATAAAAAGATTATTTCGTACTGAAATGCACTGAACCGTTTATAAAGTTAGCACGCAAGACACAATTAAGTTTCAAACTGTATTAGACTAGTTAGTATGTAGCATGTGCTAAATGGCTGCATTATTGATGACTGCAGAAGTATAATTCCCTGGAGATTTATTCTAAAAGTATTAATATAGTATAGTACGTATGTTTCCGAAATCTTGTTCGAATAAAACGACTGTGAGTTCAAAATGATGGAAAATAAACTCGAGAAATCGAGAGGAGAGTGCCGTTTTATATGATCAAAAGATCAAAGATCAAAAAAATGCATAGAAAAATTTCCAATATCAAAAATTGAGAATCTGACATAGCCTCAAACTTTGCTAAAAAAAACAGACTTCCTTTACTCACCCTGTATGTGGATAAATGAAAAAATATACCGGTGAACCCTGTCGGTGTTCTCAAACAGTTAGTGATGAACCTCCCGAATACCGCAATTCGATATCTCTTTCCATTCCGAAAATATCGAGATTTGAATTTGGGTAAAATGTTTCATGTTGCAAAGCAACTGTCCACCAGTTTATATGAATACTACTTCAGTGCACAACAGTCATATGTTACTGCAAATTCAATCTGTTGGTTTGTTGAACATTAATTTAGCATTTATGCTACAATGTCAGTTTTGTATAATTATTCGTTTACAGATTTTTAGAATCAATTTTCTGTAATTTTACATTCCTGTATATTAAAATTACATCACATTTTGAGTATTCATAAAGTGCTTTTTCAATTTCACTTTAAACATTTTAAATTCGAACACTGTTTAATATCATTGTACAATTTATTAAATTAAAATACTCGCTTTTAATATACATATTTGCTAGTTACGCTACTATTACAATTTTGTAGATGAAAATCCTCTAGTTTAATAGATATAATGTGGTGGTAATAAATTATTTTTTCAATTTGAATATTAAAAGGAGAACTAAATAAATTTAAAATATTCATTTGGTATTATTTTTGGTTACATTTTGCTGCGCGTTGAGCTCATTACATACATATTCCCAGGCGTTCACTGTAGTCTGGTAGTAGTTCACCTGTTTATTAACAAAGTCTAGTAGGATCTTCTTCAGACACTTTTGCTTTTCCGCCTGCCACCATTCTAAGTTGCTGCGCAGGCATTCGTTGGCACACTCCAATTGGTCTTGATTTGATTCAACCCGTTTCAGCAGTTGAGGGATGCTGCTGCCTAGCTTTTCTAACCGGTCCTCCCTCGATTGTTTCCACAAGGAGAACGTAGCGTTTTGCAATGGTGTCTCCTCATTTGCTACCAACTATAACAAAATGAAAAATGTAACTTTTCTCTCTGTTATTTCTGCTGCCGCACCAACCTCTTAGGGTGGAGATTTATTTATTTATACATACGAGCTCTGTCTCCATGAAGTTGGCCCAACTATCAAAACTACGTTTTTTATGAAATTTGTCATATTAGCGGAAACATATTAAAAACTAAAATGTACTTCTGATACCATACGATATTTTTATTTGATATTAGCCTAAACTACTAGATTTTTTTGTAACAAAGAAAAAAATATCTTACAGATTAAAAAAAAACTGCCGATTAATCAAAATCAACGAAACCAAATTGCAGCAAATCACCACTGCGTTACATAGCCTTTTCGACTGATTACTGCTTCTTGACATAGTGTCAACTAATGTTTGTCAGTCATCTGGTGTAAAAATGTTCCAAATTTCTTCTTTCTGGAACGGTTTTTGCGGGATTCGATCGTAGCTTTTTTTTTCATGATTATATGGTATATAATATGATCATAAGGTTTCAATCGGCGATAGATCTGGACTACTCGACGTCCATTTTAAAACTGAAATATTGTTTTCTAACGTCCAATCTTGTTTGAAGATACATTCAATATTGTTTAAACACATTTATTTAATTTGGGGTATTAAGTTATTCTTAAGCACATGTATGTACTTATCAGCATTCTTCCACAAAGTGTAAGTTTCCTACTCCACTTGCTGAGACAGTCATTCTGAAACACTTTTAGTTCTTATGACACGACTCCTACCACACCAACGCGTACTTCAAATCTGGGCTTCATCACTCCAAAGAATGGAGCTCCATTAGTTCGGAGACCATACTTTGTGTCTTTGGCCCACGCTAGCCTGTTTTTCTTCTAAATCTTTGCAGTAAGAGCTTGTCTTTTGTCTAGAAATACTGAATTAAAAACGAATAGTAAAAAATAATTTAAGCCTACTTTGTGAGTTTTAAATTCTAGTTTTTGGAGAGCTCTGTGACAAGTTGCTCTTGAAAACTTTTTTGTGGTTACCTAATTCCATAACATTTTCAATTCGTTATATTTAGCATGCCATTTATGCTTGATAATCCGTTTTAAGGCTCTTAAGTTGGTATTGGAATAATACGGGCGACTTCCAGTACTGGGTTTTTGAGCCACAGATCCCGTTGCTTTGTACAATTTAATGATATTTCGCACTGTATACCACTGTCAGCGGTTTGGAAAGCATTTTCTCCTTTTAAATGCAAGTGAATGATCACTTTTCCTATTTCGTCAGAAACAGCTTTACCACGAGCCCTTTTTAATTGTTAACAATAACACCAATGCATTGAAAGTTGATTTAAATGTCAAAAATCAGCTTCTTAGTAACGCAAAATGTTTTCATTTGTTTTAAAGCCTACCTTTATTTTATCGAAGCGAATAAACAGACCATTCAACTTAAGTTGTATTTGTATTTTGCTATACACAAATCATTTTGCAAAGTCAATTTCGAAATAAAAAGAAACCAGAAATATATACTAAATGTCATAGAAAACGCAACACCGACTAGGAGTGCTGTACTTTTGAGCATACTTATAGTTTTAGGTCTTCTGATAAATAGAAACTGATTAAAATTTCAACTCGAAATTTCGCAAAATAGCCGAGATATCCCGCCTTAATGTTAATAATGTATTGAAGCTCCTCTGTTCGCTACACGTTCGTTAAGTCGTCGCGGTATTGATTGGATTAGGTGATTGATGTCTTCTTGGTGTATTGTATCCCAGGCCATCTGATTTTGGTTTCGTAGAGCCTCCTATGTTTGTGGAGGGTGCGGTAAATTTTGCAACCTTCTTTCCATGATGTCCCATACATGTTCGATGGGAGAAAGGTCGGGAGATCAAGAAGGCCACTGAAGCAGATTTACTCCGGACACTTCTAAGAAGTCTAAACTTACACGTGCGACATGAGGTCATGCATTGTCCTGCTGAAAAATTGGATCTTGCAATGTTGCCAAAAAGAGAAGCAGATGTGGTTGTAAAACTTCGTGGATATAGCGCTGGGCAATCATACTACCTCGACTGAATACTAATCGTAACCTGCTGACTTTGACGTCCAGTACCTCTAACTCGTCGATTTCGGCCTTCTTGGAACCACGCTCGACAACATCTCATTACAGTAGCTTCAATTCGATTCACCCGATTAGCGATTCCTCTAAAAGAAAATCCGGCTTCGCGCGTCTGCGAACTCTAGACATGATAATGCAATGGAACAACATTGAAACAAATGGAAGCAACACAGAAAAATCTCTAAATATTAAGTAAACATATTCATATTGTTTGGATGCTGCTATGACAAAAAAAAGTGTTTACAAGAAAGTACGGCTCGAAATGCCATTTTATCAGCGTATACTTCCATGATAGCAAATATGTTAACAGGTTTTTAGCAAAATTCAATAAATAATTCTGGGTTGCATTTTATGTCACTTAGAATATTTGAAATAAAATTTTAATTAGCCCTCAAATAAATTCACAAATATGTTTTGGGGTGTTGGGCCAACTTCATTGACACATGGCTCGTAATTGCCCAACAGACTAATCCAATTACAGGGCAATATGATGGTAACCTAACTTATAGTGTGCATACAAGAACCACATAAAACAAACATAAAAAATAGCTATTGTAATAGTCCCTGAAGTTTGACAAAATTTTACAGATACAATCAAAATTAATGTCAGAACTGTCTGCTATGGAATTATAATTGAAGACATAAGTGGATAAAGGTGTTACGTCACAAAATGCAAGGTTAGAGTTATTTAGAAAAATGTGATTTCCGTTATTTTACGGTTCTGATTAAAATCACTTGTCAGACACGTATTGTATTAAGATACTGAAAAATTATTAGTTTATTAGAAACACTGCAAAAATGTACATAACTCCTGTCTACTGAAACTTTAGCTATGGTAGAATAATAGATATGTGGTAAGTGTCAGGTACTTTATTATTTGAAACAAATAATTTTAACAACGTGTACGATATCAGAAGGTACGTGTTTAAAGTGTCATTCTTTTCTTCTTTGAATATACGAGTAGTAAATTCTCCTGTATTATGCGCTCGTAATACCATTAGTTTTCTTCATCTACAAACTTTATTTGATCTTTGAGATTTTGCAGTTTTTCTATAGTTAGACCTCCAAACTTTTCGGTTATCCTTGTTGGCCGACAAAAGTGGCATTATGTCGATTTTTTGTGACATTATGTAGGTTTTTCTAACAAGATGTAAACTTAGCACTAGCTGATGGATACTCGTTTTGTAGTTGTACGTGTTGCCTAAACGTCATGATGCTTCAGTTATAAATGTTTGGCTCTGATGTGATGTAAAATCTTCTTCAAAGATGGCATTATTGGAGGTCTATAAGGTGTATACTATAGCTAGAAGGAAATGGCAGGGCATAGGTGCATCGTGAGGATTTATGTGCTAATATGTGTTGATTTTTTTTATACTCCAACTACCACGAAGGCCTAAACACCTATGGGATACCGTGGTGCTATATAGGGGGAAACAGGGGAAAGGGTGGACCCCACACGAACTCTGGCGAGAGAACAGGTGTGCATGCAACATGCACACATTCTGGCCCCGCCTACGAGTTCCGCCGGGTGGTACCTCCGTGTTCGACAGTTAGAGACCGTCTACCACCTACGGACAATCATAACATCCATAACTAAGAGAAAAAATTCTCTTGGGACGGGACTCGAACCCGCGCAGCTCATGGCGACTGATCAGGAGATCGAACTTTACCGCTGCGGCCACCGCAGCTGCGATAATTCCATTGGTTTCTTGTCTCAAATACACTTGCTTGAGATTCAAAGCTATAAATTAGTTGCACAGATGCTTTTTTATTAATTTTGGAAATTACATATACATATTTGCTGAATTTCAAAAATGACAGGAATATTTATGAAAGTGAAAAGGCATTACATTATTTTTCATTTCTAGTCATCTAAATTTTATAGATATTTATTTTGCGATGTCAATAGAAAATACAAATCAGCACCTAGATGTGAGGCATTGTGAAAATGTGCTTCAGACTACTGAGCTTCACAAACATATACTCGCTTTTTGCAACCAACAATGCGTGTAATTGAGTCATTCCTACATAGATGGACGCACATAGCGATCATAGCGCGCAAACGTGGAATGAACTATTTGCACCCTAGTCTACATGATGACATTTTGTCGTTTTTTACGTTTTATAGGTTTTTCACATAATATCCGTGTCGGACATGTGAATTTCATTTACATTGGGTAGTAGTATGACATTAATATGGCCGGATCTTAGACTACAGTCACTGACAAGTTACCGACTACTGTACGAACAAACCATTATAGTTGCCAACGTTCTTCAAGGACAGGGTACCATAAGAGGAAGATATACAAAATGGCACGTACTTAGGCCATGTATGTTTACCTTATCTTTCTCGGAGTGCTTTTTATTCAGCTCGTCGATGGACGTTTCGTACTGATACTGGTATGCCTCCCGTTTCCTAATGGTCTCCTGTACAACATCGACGTACTGAAGAAAATCGCGAATAGGTTGTCCTACAATGGAGACGTAACTATGGACGAGCGCGTTCTGAGCAGCAGCGTTCCTCTCCAAAGCTCCGCCCATATTCTGTAGCATCTCTTTCAGCTGCGCTTCTGGCTCTGTTGCTGCCCAAGTTGTCAGTATCGGATGGTAGTTGTTCAGTTCGGTGACGAATTCGGTTCGTTCCTTGTTCGTACGGCTGACGGACACAAAAAAGTAGTTAATAAAACATCTGAAACTTATACTGTAGTTTTCATGTCGTTAATCCTGCATGTCAGCCTGGCCAATGAAACCACTCATTTAGGGTGTTCGAAAAATAGACGGAGATATTTTAGAGGGTGGTTCCTTGTTAAAAAATATGAAAAAACATGGGTCCGAAAATACAGTTTTCAAGACACAGGGTGATAAATTTAAAAAAAATATTAATATCTCGATTCTGTGAAATTTGGAAATATTATTTGATGTATTAAGAGGATAATTTATCCTAAATGGTTTAAAATTAGTAGGTACAGTCGCGTTCTAGGGAGTCTTTTAGCTAATATTATTGGCAAAAAATGTACGCTACTGCCTTTTTTGTAACTTTGATATTTTTTGTTTGATTAAGCATCTAAAAATACAAATTCTTTGCCTTTTGTATTTTTTTCGTAACTCACTTCGTTTTAGAGAAAAAAATTGTCACTGGACAAAATTGGTTTAGTAATTTTTACTAAAAAAATCACAAGGGCCTTGGAAAACTAAAAATCATTTCTGCATGGAGGTTTGACATTTGCGCGTTATTATTTTCACGTAATTTTCTTTGTGAAATTTCTCTAACAACTTTTCTCTGGGTTTTTGTGATGGAAAATTGCACTTTTGAGGAAATGGCTGACATGCATGTAATGTTTGCACGTGCTTATAGGAACTGTTATGCAACGAGGCGCCTGCATGCAGAAGCGTTTCCCCATCGGCAACTTCCAGATAAGTAGTAAAACCTTTGAAAGCGTAGACCGTTGATTACGGGAAAGAGGTAAATTTTCTTATTTCTTTTTCATAATGTTTTTGACAATAATGTTATTCAGGAAGTTGTGGCATTCCCACCAAAAATAGAGGCCGGCCGAGGTCCGTAAGAACACCTGTTTAACAACGCAGTTTTACGTGGTGTGAAATAAAATCCTGGTATCAGTACCAGGACTATAGCAACTAGATTAGGGGGTAAACATTCCAACAGTTCTGTGTGGAAGGTTCTCTCCGAGCAACTTTTGTATCCCTATCATGTCCAACGTGTGCAAGCATTATTACCAAGAGATTTTCTACCTCGCTTACAGTTTTGCCAATGGTATTACCAAAAGGTTAATAATAAGAGTTAAAATAAACCCATACTTTTTACGGACGAAGCAGGCGGGATGGAATTTTCTTTAAATGTGTGGATGGGTATTGTTGGTAACACTTTAATTGGTCCAACTCACTGGCCACCTCGCTCTCCTGACTTAAATCCAATAGACTTTTATTTATGGGGACACCTTAAGACGATGGTTTACGCTACTCCCATAGAAACAATAGAAGAATTAAGAAATAAAATCGTACTTGCGAAAAAATAAGAAATAAACGTCGAATTTTAGCTCGAGTTCATCGAGTACGGAAATGGATGGTGGACCTTTCCAACATTAGTTGTAGTGTAGTTTATGTCATCGTACCTATTGGAAAAGCTGCAATAACACTCTTTCCTAGATTGTTTTTTTGATTTTTTGTTTTCCACGGTACTTGTGATTTTTTAGCAAAAATTAATAAACCAACTTGTGACATGCAATTATATATTTTTTTTCTCAAAAACGAAGTGAGATACGAAAACAATACAAAAGGCAAAGAAGTTGCTTAGTAAAACAACAAATATTAAAGTTACAAAAAAGGCAGTGGAGTACATTTTTTGCCAATAATATTCACTCGTAAATATTTTTTGAGATAACATTTTTTTTTAATTTATCACCCTGTGTCTTGAAAAATCTGCATTTCTAGACCCATTTTTATGGAAACTTTTTTCATATTTTTCCACACGGAATCACTCTCTAAAAGATCTCCGTCTATTTTACTATTTTAAATTCTTTAATGTAATATACGTTTCGGTCACAACAGTAGTGACCTTCTTCACTGAATAAGACTTTTGACAATATTTTATTTATCTGTTTTCCAGGTGACTCTGCGTTTGTCTTTTCATTTTAAGATTCCTTTACAGTATGTTACTACAATAGTCTGTAAGGTCCGCAACATGCCGAGATTGCGCGAAGCCATCATTCAAATTTTAAGATGCCACCACGCAAACCCAGCATTGACCAGAACCGCTCTCAAAAGGACGTCTAGACGCCCAAATTTACCATATTCGTCAGCCTCGGGCATCGTTCCGAAAACGCCAAAAGCCATAAAAAACGCAAAAACCCACCCAACCTTCGACTAAAATGTTGCAACTCCATCGTTGTGAAGTTGTTTGAGCTTATAATAAAATACGACTAACATAACTTAATACTGATAATAATGGAATGCATGGCAAGAAAATAATCATGGATACCAGCAACAACATTATTATCTGTCAGTATCATCGTATATCATAGATAAACTGTCATTCATTGCAAATTTTCAAGTTACGTACCCAGTTGTGTTGTATATTGAACAATGACTTATTCAATCGATGAATCAATGAAATCAATGAAAACCCTCTTTTTTCATTTTTAGATTATCCATGAAGTTTTAGTAACTTTTATATAATAAAGTTTATACCTATCTTCAATCGTTGTGAAGCTGTTTGAGTTTATAATAAAATTTTAGAAATTGTGATAATAAAAACAATAATCAATATAGTTTCCATAGTAACAAGACTCCGAGTATTAAAAAAATAAAAAACAACTTTTACACGCACATTAAAGTTAAAGTAAAAATTAATTTGCTATAAAGAGGTAGGTCAATGTGGTAATAAGTGCTGAAAGTGGTGTCCATTTAACTCCATTCAATAATCAAGATTTTGTGCGAATCTATTCCTTACATCTTCAAGCATATCTAGAGTTATTTGTCTATATTCAGCCCTCATCTGCTGACGATGATCTTGACTGGAATCTGGCTTCTTACTAAAAACTTCACTTTTCAAATGCCCCCAAAGTAATCTAAAGGACTTAGGTCCGGAGATCTCGGCGGCCACGCGATGGGGCCTCGTCTGCCGATCCACTGATTCGGGAAATGGGTGTCCAAAAACTGTCGTACTGGAGCGGTGCACCATCTTGTTGAAAATGAATGTAATTTTCACTACAATTAACGTCATTTCCTATTATTTCGGTAATTCGTGGCCCTAAAGTATTAGTACCATAGAATATTATATGACAGGCGGCTACAAATGCATAGTAAAGAGATAATAGAGATTTTTCATCTAAATATTGTTTCATGTGAAATAATGCAAAGAAGCTTTTGTTTAAATTGCAGCAGATGTTGTTTATCCGAGATTCAAAAGTGATGTCTGCATCAACCCAGCTACCAAAGAGCTTAACATTGTCTACCAACAGCAATCAAGGTTGATTATTTAAAGCAACCGTGGTGACTGAAGGAATACTTTTTTTAATGTAAATCTTGATTGCAGTAGTTTTATTTTTATTTAATAACTTATTCCTTTCAGACCAAACCTCCATCTCTTCAAAAACTATAAAGGTGTTCTTATAAAGTAATCGACAAACATTGACTTGACCTGTTGAAATGAAATTTGAAAGGTCATTTATGAAAAGTATAAATAACAACGGTCCCAACACCGATCCTTGCGGTACACCAAGGTAGACTGGGTATCTATCAGACATTCATTTATCAATATATACGTATAAGTAAGAGTCGATCCAGTTTAAAATAATGCCTCTAAGTCCAAGTGAATGTATTTTTCTAGTATTATATCCTTACTCAGGCTGTCAAAAGTTTTCGAGAAATCAAAGATAAGACTTATAAAGTTCAGAGGTAGCCGTCTCCACAGACTTATTTTGCCTGAATCCATGCTGGACATCAGATAAGATGTTGAATCTTACAGCAAACTCAGTAATAACTGTGTACGCTCAATGACCTTAGAAAATTCTGATAGAATTTTTTAACATGTCCAAGTATGTCTCGCCCGTCAAGTTTCCAGGAATAAAGTAAGGTCCTACAATTTGATTTCCAAAAATTACGGACCACACATTTATTTTTTGAGGATACTACTCGAAACACATCTGGATTCGAATCGGTCCAATATCGACAACTATGTCTATTTACAATACCATGTAATTAGAACGTACACTCATCCGAGAAACAAATATTAAATAACAGATTTGCTTTGTTGGTTAAACGTTGTCGCATTAATTCGCAAAACTCCAACCTTCTATCAAAATTGTCTTCATTAAGCTCATGGACAAGTTCAATCTTCTACGGGTGAGATTTATTGGCTTTCAAAATTCTTTATACTGTTGAGAGTGTAAATCCTGAAGAAGTAGCCAGTCCACGAGTACTTTGAGTGTTGTTAAGTGCTGCGTGTCTCAAAACTGCTATATCTGCGGCTTCATTTCTAGCTGGTCAATTTTCTCGATGGTATTACGGCAAATATTAGACACAGATCCAGAGTCTTCATCTTATCATTCTTATCAACCTAGCCACGTACTTATTGTTAATATTTGTCTGGATGTAACACACTAAACAACCAGGCAGTAGCTCTTACAATGCTCTCATTTTGGTAATACAGTTTTGTTATTTCTACTCTTTCTTGAATTGAATAAGAGATTGTTCAATATTTATCACAACTAGGTAGGTAACTTAACTTCAAATGAAAGACAAGGTTTATCTATGACATACGATGACACTGACTGATGCTAAATCTTCTTGCTGGTATCCATGATTATTATTTTTTGCCGTGCAATCCGTTTTTAACAGTATTAAGTTGGTCGAATTCTATTATAAACTCAAATAGCTTCACAACGATTGAAGATAGGTATAAACTTTATTATTCACAAGTTATTAAAAATTTCATGGAAAATCAAATTAAAATAATAAGAGTTTCAGTTTAAAAATCTTAAATGTAACGCAATATCTTCTTTTTGGATCACCCTGTATTGTACGGCTATAGATGACGGCCCCATAGAAATAAAAATTGACGTGACCGAGCGTTTTCCCCGAAACATACCAGGAGAGTCACACATTTTCGTTGGGCCACCCTGTAAGGCTATCTATGCATATAATCATTATATCTCTTTTGTTTAATTTTGAATCCATTTGATAATCCCTGTTTGCCTAACAATTAAAAAGCTAAATGATTTTTACCTGGAAATTTTTTCGAATGAGACTAGTTTTTCAGTTAATGCAGCTAAGTAGTTCCTAGTTTTATCAAATTCTATATGTCTGTTCTTCAAAATGGAATGTGATGAGCTAGAACTAATTGGTGTTGATATTCTTTGCTCAACTGGATGTCTTTGCCTTCGATGTAATGTAAAATCCTAAATAGTAAAAAAGTGAATTGCGTGAATAGAACTATACCTAAAATAATTGAAAAATCTTTACAAAAATAATAATAACCATAACATTTGATCACTTTTTTCTAAATTATTCCAAACATTATAGAGGGAAGGTTCTAATAAAATTCACTTTTTAACACTGGGCGAGGAAGTACTGTAATGGCGAAAAATTTTGAAAATGTTTTTTGGATGTGGAAAATTGTAGTAGAAGTGTTTCGTGGCATGTTTCAATCTACTTAACGCCATTTTTTTTTCTTGAAATGAACCAAATAATTGCCCCATTAAACATTTTGCTGTTCATTTAAAAAACCCAGACTTTCAGTGAGAATAGTCAAATCAAAGATAATAGTAATGATGTATAATAATTTCAGCATACTTACAGCAGGTTTGGCTGTTAGAAATACTTTAAAATGCTCATTACAACTTAAAATGGGATGCTGAGTAATTCTTGTGATGAATACATTCAATGCTTTCATTCTAAGGAGTATAAAATCTTTGGAGTATCTGTCTAGCTGCCCAATCAAAGAATGTTTTGCTGGTAAAGGCTGAAATAAAAATGTCAATCCATGAACAACTGATGCTAACCTTGATAAAAGCTATATATTTATGTTTTGAAGGTCCTGATGACAATGACATAGTTCACTGAAAGTTAGAGAATAAAGTTACAAGAGTACATTTGCACTAATTTGTCGAAGTGCCCAATATATATATATAAACTCGAGCTTTCTAAGGTCTATGCCTTCATCGTCTGGAATAAGTCGGCGAGATTGTTGCTGAAATTGTTCTTAAACGACAGTGAAGAGAACACATAGTCGACGAATAAAAAACTGGACCGATGAGGTTCGATTAGGACGGAATTATTTATAAATGGCAAATCATAGCTATGTTTTTTATTTTAATTTTTCCTTTAAACACTGATTGATTTGGAAGAACTTGAAAAACTATCAACTATTGAAAAATCCTTCGCGATTAATTTTTTGTGATTAATCGATGTTAGTCGATGGGTGATGTGTGATGGTGAGATGCCATTTTTTCTGCATTTGATCAAGAAGATTCGTCTATTGGTTTCGTGTGCTAATAGTTTCCTACATCTTATCCAGTCCTTCATCAGTCTGACCGTGTGTAGCCCTTTGATTTCTTTGGAGGAAAAATTTTGAAAAAAATAAAATAAAAAAACAGCTATGATTTGCCATTTATTAATAAAATAATTCCGTCCTAATCGAACCTCATTGGTACAGTTTTTTATTCGTCGACTATGTGTTCTCATCACTGTCGTTTAAGAACAATTTCAGCAACAATCTCGCCGACTTATTCCAGACGATGAGGGCATAGACCTGTCAGTCAGATTTTTACATATAGATTTCGTAGTGCATAGCCATCTTTAGTATTGTGTCAGCATTTTGTAAAAAAACGAGTCTCCACTCTTTCGATAATAACCAAATTATCACAAAACAGATAATTACATTCACGATGCACTGATAACTTGACACAAGGATAGACTTATGTTCAAAGATTACACTGGTAGAATTTTTAAATGATTTATTTCCACAAGAAAATGTCGATTTTCTGCAGAGCGATATTTATTTTGGACTATATACTACAGTGGACCACACATGAATGAGTATGTTTTGAGGCAATATATCACATGACTTTCGTTGATCTACTACTAACTTTACACCCTATATATATACAGGGTGACTTTGAAGTTGAGTCATTAATTTTCAGATAATGATTGTAGAAGGAAGATAAACCAAAATATGTGTGTAAAAATAAAAAAGTAAATAAAAAAAAAAATTTACCTTGTTTAATAAACTATCGTCCCGACAAGTATTTCAGTGCGGACCTGTATTTGATCGTGCGGTCTTGGAGCAGCATGCCCTGACCTGTGAGGTCTTAAGTCACCTGATTCACGAGCCCTTTGTACTACATTAACAAAGGCACGAGGGGTTGGTTGCACTCGATTGGGAAACCGATTCGCATAAATCCGTGATGCATCCGGGAGCATTTTGTAAAGACAACCCCCCCTCCCCCCCCCCCCCCGTAAATAAGAATCATGTCCACAAGTTCAGCATTTTCGTAAACATGTGCCATTTTTGATTTCGTTTGAGCCACGCAACAAACACTAATTCACTAACGCGTTATCGACTGACGAAAAACATCGTGATAAACGTTTCAAATTCTTTCGCTTTTTTGTTTCCGATGCGATGAACCGGTCAGGCGGATTATATCCGTTGTCGCCAAACACGAACATATTATTATTGAGACAGGGCAGTACTCAAACTTCCAAAGGGCTATAACTTTGTTACTTCAATTTTACCAGAAAAATGGTAAAGGAAAAAAACATTTCTTTTGATCAGATCTACTCACTGTTAAAATAAATGACTCAACTTCGAAGTCACCCTGTATATATAGGTAGGTGAGAAAAGCTTCAGCACCCCCCAGGGTGCAAAGGGAGCAAAGGGAACTCTTAATGCTTTATTTTCTCTAGCTTTCAATGAACTTTGTTATCATCATCAGGAGAACAGTAAGCGAGATTGTTGCTAAATGTTATTAACTAAGTTAATGAGAACACTTCGTAGCCTGATGGAGGCTGGATCCATAGTAACAGTAGTTAAAATTTTGTAAAATACACATAGCTATGAGTCCGAAAAACAACACAATGCATTAAAAACTTAAAGATTGATTGTTAAAATTTGTTTGATATTACATTGTGAGAAACAATCTTAATATTTCTTTGTTTATCTGTGTGTAGGCCTCAACAAACTACACTTTGGTACCAGACTATATGGAAGGGTTAATTACAGGCACAATGCAGAAAGGATGGCACTCAATAAGTTTTTGCCGTAGCCATAAGAAATCATTGTATCTCCTTCTAACAACGTATTCATAATCTGAGAACTCAATTCTGGCTACTTTTGTAGTAATTCTAAATGTGATATAAGTTTCCAAGGTCTCCATGTGCTTTTGTGGGTTGTCAATTTTTACATAGAGGTCAGAATCTTCATCCATGTTTAATTCCGAGAGGTTTTCAATGTCATGAATTGTTGAGTAGCTTTCACAGCTTGGTGATTGCACCTGAAAATATTGTCATTAATGTCTGTATGAAATATGGCACACTTTTTCTTACTAATGAGTTTTCATAATTTGAATTACTGCACACACTAGTTGGTTCAATGTTTTTGCTTTCCACAACTATGTCTAGGACTGCAGAGGTGTTGCTTGACATGATTTTTGTGATAATCCAATCTAGGTGGTCATCAATGGTATTTTATTGTTTATAAAGCTCCCTTACAAGTTCATTAACTTTTTTCGGTATTGTGATATAGAATATTTCAGTATCCAAGTTCAGGTAAATCTACAATCCATAGGAAAACAATTACTTCGCACATGGATATCAAAACATAGTACAAACATGATAAATCGATTAAAATGTTGGTCTTTCTATGAATATTTTAACCATGATTGTAAGATTGAAAATATGATCGAAAATGAATATCAACAATCCAAAATTTCCAACAAAAACAAATCACAACTCAAACCACGGGTGATTCACAAATTGACAGCACGAGCTCGTTGACATGAAAGAGGCAGAGAAACATAAGTGAATTAGATCGTTATTTGAAAATCTGATACTCGACTTGTGATTCAACTTTCAGAAGCGTGTAGATTGGTGCATATTTTAGGACTACACTCCTATAACAATAAAGTAGTGTTAATGAAAATCTGTCAATTTATTAGACCGATTTTTTAAAATAGATGAAATAGGGGAGGAGCTTTTTCGATCGTCATTATATCTTGGATGATGGCCCAGTAGATATAGTTAAAAAATCTACTCATTATCTAGTTATACAAAAATCATGGAGACAGTAAACAAGGTAGTCCAAAATCTCAGAGCCCCAGCTCTACAACCACAAACCATCACAAAGATCACCGACCACTACTGATTTATTTGAGCTTTGTTCCCAGAAGCTAGAAACCATCGAACTTGTCCTGAACTGAGCAGAGCGTGCGCAGATCGAAATTATGGTTCCAACAGAAAACGGAAGTGATACCGTAAAGCATAACTGACAGATCTCTATTCTAACAAATTCAGTAGTTGTTCAGAACTAGTTCTATCAGTTCTGCTTCTGAGAGAGAACGTAAAATTTCGAATTTTTTAGCACATGCTTGTTTATAAGAATAATAATAATAATAATACACTGTTAAGTGAAATATACGTCACAGTGCCATCATGACAGAAAAAACAAAGAGGCAAAACATAATAGAGATATTACATTTCAAAATATTCTTGAAGGTCATATGGTTCTAAGTGCACTAACAATTGATAAATACTCTTTTTATATTCTTTTATATCTGCCAACCTTTTAATTTTTTGTGGTAACTTATTATATATTTTAGTGCAGCTGTAATGGACATTTTTTTCGGTAACCGTGAGATGATGGACTGGATATAGAAGATTGGGTTACCGATAAAATTGTCAATATTTTTTAAATGTAAAAATTAGAATCTCTTGAATATACAGGGTGACTTCGAAGTTGAGTCATTTATTTTAACAGTGAGTAGATCTGATCAAAAGAAATGTTTTTTTCCTTTAACATTTTTGTGGTAAAATTAAAGTAACAAAGTTATAGCCCTTTAGAAGTTTGAGTACCGCCCTGTCTCAATAATAATATGTGCTCGTGTTTGGCAACAACGGATATAATCGGAAACAAAAAAGCGAAAGAATTTGAAACGCTTATCACGATGTTTTATTCATTTATTTTATTCAGTTGTATTCATTCGATGTGTCAGTCGGTAACGCGTGAGTGGTGTTTCTGCGTGGCTCAAACGAAATAAAAAATGGCACATGTTTACGAAAATGCTGAACTTGTGGACATGATTCTTATTTTACAAAATGCTGCTACGGCAACACGGATTTATGCGGATCGGTTTCCCAATCGAGTGCAACCAACCCCTAGTGCCTTTGTTAATGTAGTACAAAGGGCTCGTGAATCAGGTGACTTAAGTCCTCACACGGGAGGGTATGTGCTCCAAGACCGCACGATCAAATACAGGTCCGCACTGAAATACTTGTCGGGAGGATATTTTATAAAACAAGGTAACATTTTTTTTAATTTTTTTTTAATTTTTACACACATATTTTGGTTTATCTGCCTTCTACAATCATTATCTGAAAATTAATGACTCAACTTCAAAGTCACCCTGTATATTGCGGCTACAGTTAAAATTTTATTATTCTTAAATTTTCCTCTGCAAGTTTCTCTAGAGGAAATTTTTAGGATACACCTCAGCACTCGCTTTTGCACTACGAGTAGAAAGATCCTATTGTATGGCTACTGTGTCCGGAAAAAATTATTCCAAAACGTACACTGCACTCAAAATTCGCGTAATATACCATTTTTAGAGACTTGAGGTCTAGGTACTTGCTTAGTACTCTAATACCATAGAATGCATTGTTTAACCTTTTTTCTAGATGTTCTATATGTTTAGCCCAGGAAAGTGCTTGGTCAATATGAACTCCCAAGAATTTTCCACAGTCTGTCAGAGGGACTTCTATTCTTTCTGCTAAGGTGATGTTTGTATCTTCGATTTCTTTCTCTTAACTTAAAAACAATCGCATTTGTTTTTGAGGTATTCAGATGTAATCCATTACGAGCAAACCACAAAAACGCTTTCTCGCAGAGGCTCAAAGTACTATCAGCTAGCTATAGAATGAAATAAATGGCAGGATTAACTTTCCATATATCTGAGAAACTGGCTTTTGTAGCTTTCATTTTGTGCCTTATCCAAGTTTTCAATCTCTGCAGATATCACAGCAAACAGTTTATTGTGCCGTTTATCACATATTCAAAAATGGGTGACGATGGAGATCACTTTGGAGCCGATTTAAGTGAAGATGATATTGAGATGATCACAAAAATGAAAATTATACACATAGGCGAGTGTATTGCTAGGAAAAATTCTGCTACAAAACTATACGAAATTTAAAACGTGATAATCACAAATTATATTATGGATTTGATGTTTACACTTAGACAATTATAAAAACTATTAACGTTTTCAGAGGGTGATTACAACAACGTTTACATACAGTTCGAATCCAAATTAATGTACACTTTGCACGTGCATTTTCTTTCTCATAAATATATATGTCCTTCCTTTTGCTTGTCCTGGAGCCGCCCAGGGCCCCTGTTCGAGCACCCCTTAGGTCCTGGCGGTCGCCTATATGATAAAGCCGGCGGATGTCGTCTTAGCGATGTCAGTTTCTCGTCATATTAATTGACGTCCTGACGACGTTAAGTGGACGTTAAAGCGTCTCAGGTACAAGTCACGTTTTAAAAACGTCACAGTAAAATTAAATGTTCAAAGAAGTGACAGCTGATATACGTAATATACAGGGTGACTTCGAAGTTGAGTCATTTATTTTAACAGTGAGTAGATCTGATCAAAAGAAATGTTTTTTTCCTTTACCATTTTTCTGGTAAAATTAAAGTAACAAAGTTATAGCCCTTTGGAAGTTTAAGTACCGCCCTGTCTCAATAATATCATGTACTCGTGTTTGGCAACAACGGATATAATCCACCTTATCGGTTCATCGCATCGGAAACAAAAAAGCGAAAGAATTTGGAACGATGTTTATTTTATTCAGTTCAGTTATACATACAGTCAATGTCAGTCGCGTGTGAATAGTGTCTGTTGCGTGGCTCAAACGAAATAAAAAATGACACATGTTTATGCGGATCGGTTTCCCAATCGAGTGCAACCAACCCCTCGTGCCTTTGTTAATGTAGTACAACGGGCTCATGAATCAGGTGACTTCAGACCTCACAGGGGACCTCACGATCAAATACAGGTCCGCACTGAAATACTTGTCGGGAGGATACTTTATAAAACAAGGTAAAAATTTTTTTTTATTTTTTTTTTATTTTTACACACATATTTTGGTTTATCTTCCTTCTACAATCATTATCTGAAAATTAATGACTCAACTTCAAAGTCACCCTGTATATCGAATTCATTGGTGCGTTCACACAACCCAAAAACATGGCGGCAAATGTCATTTGTGTTGCTTGTCGAAAGACTCTGAGAGTTCATTCATTCTTCCCCATGTTATATGTTTTGTGGTTTTGCATTGACAACTTTGGCGATCCCAAAAACAAATCATAAACATAAAAACAAACAAGAAAACCGAAAAAAGTTGTAGGAGTTACCGGTAAAAGTGGTGGTTAAAGTAGTTCTGTTGGCTGAAACTTGAAATAAAAGTTCACAGGTGGCAGAGTCACTATAGATAAAGAGTTATCTTGCTATAAAATAAATACTTTGGGTCAGGAACAATGTTCAAACAAAAAGGTAGTTAGAGGTATTTTCATATTTGTTAACTATCAAACCTCTTTACCGAAACTAGAACTCCACTTCCTTCTGTGAGCCCAATAGTAATGAGAGTAGCTATTTACCAATGTTTTTAGTTATAACACATTTTTTCTAGTTGAAACTAGTTTCTGCTATGCGTCTTTTTTCATCGCGGCTACCATGAGGATCCCAAAGAAATTTTGTTAATACGAATTTTGAACTGCCTAAGGTTAGTAGAACTCGGAAGCTTTCTCTTGTAGATTCTTCCACAATCTCGACACCCTCGGGACAAAGGAGCGATCGCATCAGCCAGTTCTGGATGTACAAAGCCTGTTGGTGTAGCAGTAGAAGAGAGCTAGGTCGCTGACAGCCTGCAGGTGCGAAAGGGTCCCAAGTCAGTTAGAGAAGAGTCATTGATAAGTTGGACAGATGTCGTCTGGACAGCATCGAGCATAAATAATGTAGTTGGGGCAGCAGCACTCCAAACGTGTGAACAATACTTGAGGTCTTTTCACGAGTATCTATTATGGTAAAATAACAGCTAATTGCCTAGTAATATTTCAAAATTCCTTATATTCGCAAAGGACACATAATTCTGAAAGATCCATCAATGCCAGAGACAGAGCCATATTTTGTTTTGATTTTTTGTATGGTACAGATGCATTTTGTACTTGCTAAAAGCTCTTTTATTTAGAAAAGTTCATTTGCATACAAAAAACAAAATGATATAAACAAGTTTTACTAGATTTATACCCGATTTATTATTGCTAACTGCAGACTAACACCAAAAAGGAATCTTGCTGATCAGCTCTTCACCTCAGCACTTCAGCAGATGTTAAAGCATAATGGATACTCATGGAATAGGGTATACTTCTTAGCCCTGAACAAATAACCTTGCTTTTTCCCAGCAGCTGCCGCGTTGACGTTGTGGGATGAAGAGGAGAATTCGTCAATTATGGATATGTTGCGGCCAGAGCGAAAGTCAGCTACCTGTTTGCAAAGCTTCTCTGGAAGGCCATAGGATGGAAGTTTGCATGAGCCTGACCATAAGACTGGATAAGCTTACTCCACAATTGCGTGATGTAAGCAAGGAGGCTCTCTGTGGATCGCTAGTGCATATGAACGACCTGTAGGTCATTCCACTCCACAGCTTTGCTGATGACAGGAATTCAGAATGACAAGCTGATCTCTGCTGGTGAGCTGGACAAAAGAAGACTATCAGTGACTTCCTCTCTGACCTGAGGTTATCACTGCTTGGGGACACAACAATCTGGTACAGTTTTATTTCATGCATTTTGGCTGGTAGAAGTTTAAATCACTGAGGACTTTATCTGGCATGAACACACCACAACAGTAGAGGCAGCTGCTAGGAAAAAAATAGGCTATTTGTTTAGGGCTAAAAAGTACTTTTCTCTACATTACCTCCTCACGCTGTTTAAGGCTCAGATAAGACCTAGCCACGAGTGCTGCTCACATGTTTGGGATGTTCCCGCCACACCTACATTATCCATGCTCGATGCTGTTCTGAGGAGGGCTGTTCGACTGATTGATGACTCTTCTCTAACAGCTTTACTATCCTTATGCAGTTCAAAAATCAGGTTAACAAAGTTTCTTCAAGCTCCTCATAGCAGCCGCGGTGAACTTGCATTTAGGCTGGTACCCACCTGATTGTAAAGAAACATAATCTATCTCTGTACCAAATTTCATTCGGATCGATTTAGTAACTTTGACATGATTGAGTAACAAACATCCACACTTTCTAATTTATAATATTAACACAGACTATCTAGGTAAAGGTAGAAGGGGTAAACCAGCTGTTGGAGATAAAGCCAAGGAAGTAGTAGAGAGCATAGATGACAGTAATCCAGTGATTATGATGTTCAAAGAGTATGCTGCTCAGTTGGATGATAAACATGACAAATATGAAAGAATAGTGAAACATAGCAGAGATATCACCATAGAATCCAAACGTATTATATTCCTTCTACATAACAGCAATACAGATATGTAAGCTATACTCCAAATTCATACTTTGTTTCTCCGTGTTTTACACATTTAATATTTATAACCATTCAAAACCTCTTTGGAATGTAAACATTAGTCAAATGTAGCTTCAACCTTGGTCTATACAAAATATTGAGCAACAGTGGTGTCAACCATAAATGTAACTCAAAATGTCAAAACTACTTATGACTGGGAATATTGATTAAAAATCATAGGCAAGTGTTTAAAAAGGAATAAAAAACGTAGTTTGATATTTTAAATTAAGTTGGTATATGGAAACTCTTGGTTATGTGGTTGCAAAAAAACAGATTGTATTGTTGGCGATGTCTTCTGTTTTATACAGAAAAAAAATGGGTGGACCAGCAGCGGAGTCAACGATTTAAATAGTTTTAGGGCTCTAAAGAGGAGACATGAAATTTCTCCGTTACATGTGAGATGTGTAGATAATTTAATTCGGTTTGGCAAAACAAGAATCGAAAGTTGTCTTAACCAAGCTTTTAGGCAGCACACTTCTAGATACCGTATGTTTTTTGGCAAAACAGGAATTACCGTTCATTTTGAAGGGGATGACTCTGACAGTAGAGGAAATTACAGGGAATTGTTAACATTCATTGCCAAAGAAGTTGAAAAATTTTCCGAACATCTAGAAACGTCGACTGTTTTTTCGGACGGCTTGGATTAGTCATAGCATAAGACGATGAGGTATAGCCTCACGGTACCCAATTGGTGGTGCTTAGGCCTTAGGCCTTCGTGGTAGTTGAAGTATAAAAAAAAAAAAAATATCAAGTGCCCCAGACGCTCAGTTCAGGAATGTTTACCTTAATTTAAAAGTAGTCTAAATAAAACACCCTAAATAAGCAAAAACTTATATTTGGGAGGTTCGAAATAAACTTTTTTTGGTAACAGTTTAGGAAAAGTCACGCGTCGCCTCTGCTGTTATGACAATTGTAATTCGACAACGAACCTTTTTTCTTGCACAAACATGTGTTATTGTTACAAACCTTATAACATACACATCGCAAGCTAATGTGTCCTTAAATAGTAGCGAAAAAATAAACAAAAATAAATGAAAAAGCACTCATTTGCATAGAAATTTCAAGTCTCTCTGTCACTTGGAACTATTTTATTATTTACAAAGAAAGTGAGATAATAGTAGAGAGTTTTAATGGTTTTTTTCTGAACAGCGTGAATAATTTGGCAATTGATATAAATGACATACATATGGAAAATACTTTGAATTATATACCAACTCCTACAAATAGCTTTAGTACATTTAAATCAGGTCAAATGAAGGAACTAAGAAATACAGTTAACAATTTAAAAAATAAAAATAGCAGTGTTAACGGAATTAATACCAAAATTTTGAAATTGGCTTTTGAGGTCATAGGCAACTGCTTTCTCCAGCTTATAAATTCCAGTATGGAAACAGGATGTTTTCCCCAAGATTGGAAAATGTCAACAGTCATCCCTATAGAAAAAGTGAGTTGAACAATAAAATGTGTTGGCATAGGCCAATTAATATGGTACCTCTATATGAAAAACTTGTAGAAACTGGTATCAATCCTCAATTACGTCAATACGTAGAAGAAAATAAATTACTTACAAAATACCAAGCTGGTTTTAGGAAGGACCATTCATGTGAGAGTGCACTTCAGTCTGTTATTTCAGAATGGAAAAATGTTTTGAGTGTGGGTCATTATGTCGGTGTTGTGTTTATCGACTTTAGGAGAGCATTCGAAACAATAAATAGAAATTTGTTGATAAAAAAACTAGAAAAATATGGCTTTGAAGGCAACGTTTTAAGATGGTTCTCAGGATACTTTGAACAAAGAACTCAGCGAACAAAGTACAAAAACTCCTTATCTTCTGTGAAAGAAAATAGACATGGTGTGTCTCCAGGAACAGTGTTGGGTCCTGATCTATTCGTGCTGTATACAGGGTGACTTCGAAGTTGAGTCATTTATTTTAACAGTGAGTAGATCCGATTAAAAGAAATGCTTTTTTCCTTTAACATTTTTCTGGTAAAATTAAAGTAACAAAGTTATAGCCCTTTAGAAGTTTGAGTACCGCCCTGTCTCAATAATAATATTATGTGCTCGTGTTTGGCAACAACGGATATAATCCGCCTTATCCGTTCATCGCATCGGAAACAAAAACGCGAAAGAATTTGAAACGATGTTTTTACTACAATGTACAATTTTATTCAGTTGTTTTCCGTCAATGTGTCAGTCGGTAACGCGTGAGTGAATAGTGGTGTTTGTTGCGTGGCTTAAACGAAATAAAAAATGCACATGTTTACGAAAATGCTGAACTTGTGGACATGATTCTTATTTACGGGGGGGGGGGAGTCTTTATGCGGATCGGTTTCCCAATCGAGTGCAACCAACCCCTCGTGCCTTTGTTAATGTAGTACAAAGGGCTCGTGAATCAGGTGACCTAAGACCTCACAGGGGAGGGCATGCCGGTGCTCCAAGACCGCACGATCAAAAACAGGTCCGCACTGAAATACTTGTCGGGAGGATACTTTATAAAACAAGGTAACATTTTTTTTAATTTTTATTTTTACGCACATATTTTGATTTATCTTCCTTCTAAAATCATTATCTGAAAATTAATGACTCAACTTCAAAGTATAAGTATAAGTATAAATGATATTGTAAAGGCTGTAAAAAATTTGCAAAATTGAGTTGTTTGCAGATGATACAATTTTGTTCATGGAATGTGACAACATAGCCAATTTGGTTAAAATGGTTAATGAAGACTTAAAGACATTATATGCCTGGTTAGGGAACAATAGTCTTAGTATTAATGTTGATAAGACTAAGTGTATGATACTGAAATCTAAATTTAATGCTCAGGATACTTATCTGCACGACGGATTTATAATTGAAAATAATAAGACTAAACAGATTAACAAGTATAAATATTTAGGAGTTATGATAGACTCAAATTTAACATTTAATAGTCATGCAGATTATATTATAAAAAAAGTTTACAAAAAAGTTAATTTAATATGTAGGTTAACAAAGGACCTTAGTTCATGGACGTCACTACTTATATATAAAACAATAGTCATGCCTCACTTTTACTACTGTTCCTCCATATATGAATTCACTACAGAGAAAACAAAATCAGGCTCTTAGATGTATATTAAGATGTAATAGATACACAAGAATAAATACATGTTAGAAGTAACTAATTTATTAAGTATCAAACAAAATATATTTTACAATACAATGATAGTCAAAATAAAGAATGGAATGTATCCCGAACACATATTGGAAGGTTTGCAATTAGACTGTGATACTTATAGTTACAAGGAATAGGTTTGATTTTTATGTTCGTGCTGTGGGGTCTGCTTTTGCGCAAAGTAGTTTATTTCATAAAGGCCTTATAGATTTTAATAATTTACCAGCTGAAATCAAATCTATAAATTCTGTCAAATTCAAAAGACAATTGATAATTTATGTAGAAAATAGTGTTAGTTTTAGATAATTACATTATATATTGTATGGTTTAGCTTGAAGCTACTAAATAAAGATACTGTACTTATAACTACTTGTCGCCGTTGGTAAAATGTTTCGTAGAAACTCTAGGTAGTGTAAACCGTCCAGCCGATTCGGGAAAATAGAAGGTCCAATGAGCATACCATTTACCCTGCCAGCCCGAATATTAGAAGAATAAATGGGTATTGAAAATGTAACCGACGGACTACGTGAGGATTTTCCAATGACCATACATGAGTAGTTTGGACGTTGGTAAAAATTTTCCCCTACAGAAGAAAAAATACAATAATTTTCTAGACCACTGACTTTTTTTTTTGAAAATACATTGAAGTTATGAAGATATGTTAACAGCGTTTAGTGGAACCGATGCTAAATCGCTTTTTGCAGAAAACATTAGCTTATTACCTCACTTGTGTTACTTGAGATTTGAGATTATTGTAGATTTTAGATGAAAAAACAAATGAGATGTACAGATATTTGATTTTCCTTGTTCATTTCTTATAGAGAGTCGAAAAGGGAGTCTATTTTGGAAGAAGCAGACACACGTTTGAAAGCTGTGATTGACATCAATCTCAGAGCAGTAGCTGAAGAATTACGTGATGAAGACAGCTACCAATTTCTGCGAGCTTATACTAATGGTCTTCAGGAATTTATTGAAGCATTAACATTCTACCAATTCATAAAGAATGACAGTATTGATAATTGGGAAAAAATTAATAACTTGCTCAAATATCAAGACGAATATGGTTCGGAATTCACACTCGTGTTCCCACAATACGAGTATATACTCGGTATTGCTGACTTCACTGGGGAGTTGATGAGGAGATGTATCAATACGTTGGGTGTAGGAAATATTGAAGATTGTTTCAAGCTATGCAATTTTGTCAGACACATCAACACAGGTGTCTTAGGTAAAGCATTTTGCACCATATAGATATCGGTAGTTATCACGTGATATTTTCTCTAGACATTCATGGGAACTATTATGAGTGTAAATAACAATGCAGCGATACGCATCTAGCATAGTGTCGATAATTCCATTCCCCATGAGAATGTCTATAACTTTGGTCACTTCAATGGAAACACTGTATATGTACTCGTATATAAAGGACGTTTCGTACGGGTATGGGTTTCGGCGATTTTTCTCGGAAACCAATGGATACCGATCTAAAGTGTCGGTGGGCACAAAGCTTGAGAGACTCGGCTTCAAAAATTATTAGACCTCAAATGTGGTAAATTTGGTCTATGTATCACGTATGCACTTGCTGATGAGTGAGACTAGTTCGGTGTTAATCTCTTTGGTAGGTAAGTCAGATGGTGACTAACATATTCGATCGAGCAGAGTCCATAATACTGATGCTATATGAACTAAACTGGTGGACTGTTGATTTGCAACATGGAAAATTTTACCCAAATTCAAATATTGATATTTTCGGAACGGAAAGAGATATCGAGTTGCGGTATTCGGGAGCTTCGTCCGGTATATTTCTTTTATTTATTCACTTATACAGGGCCAGCACAGGAAGTCATGTTTTTTCAAAGTCTGGGGATGTCAGATTTTTGATCTTGGTAAATTTTTTGTGCATCTTTTTGAAATGTCATCACTTATATATTCAATTTTTATTAGTTAATTGATTGGGTTGAACATTCAACTCATAGCTTCTGTTTTCATTATTTTAAGTGTACATTTTTTTTCGTAAGGTTGGGTGGAAGAGCACGCAATGCGAACTACGCCTTTTGGTTAATCCAATAAAGACAATTATTATTATGATGTTGATTAACTTCATAAGAATTTTCTAAAATTCTTGTTTCAATATTGATGGCATAAATCCTACAGAATATAACCCTCCTTCATATATTTGGCTTTAATTCCTTAGAACAGCCGCGTAGCAATTAGCAGTTCTAGTTTTGTTTAAACTTTTGCATAATCTAATAGATTGTCCCACAATACTTTCGCAAATACAGTTTCTGGTACCACGACTAACATCTAGATATAATGTTCATTTTTTATGCTAAAGGGCTTGAACAAACTTACTGTAGAAAGCGCTTGTTAACATGATGTATATGAATAAATTAGCCGCCGTATGCGACATATCTTTTTGTAGCTTAGGAGAATTGATGTACAAACTGCCTGCTCATTTTTGATTTTCTTACCTCTTTCTCTTACTCGTAAATTACAGCTAATTTTTTTGTATTGATTTATGAAATTTCTAATTGCTTTTTTACAAAATACCTCATGGTAATTCCTTTTTTTATAGTAGATTGCTCTGTAAATGTTCTAAACTGTTGGGCAATAAAGGTTTATTTTTATTACCAACTTTCTATCATCGTCAAGGTCGGAACATCCCCACCAAATGCTTTTTTCACTTTTTTCGTAACATTCTCTAGTTGGTAGATCTCTGCGAAAATTATGGAGACTAATAACACGTTAAGCAATGGCCGGGTACCTTATAAAAATGTAGCATCGTTACCAAAAAACTCTCTAATTTGTGAAAACATTACATTTCAGGTTTGATGTCCCATGGCAGCAAAGAATTATCAAGAAAAGCATACGTACTGCGTCAGAGTTTGGAAAAAATGGAGCTAGTATGTTACAACATACAAATCAGAGGAACTGAAATACCAAAACATATGTTGCTCAATGTGATCGAATCTAGTCACGTCAAGGATGATGTGGATGAAGGATTTTATTGAAATAATTCTGTAGATATTCAACTCTGAAATTCACATATAAATATATGTTCATGCTTCATGAAAAACTTTTCATGTATTTTTTTTCTATACTCCTTTAGTTTATGAGAGCGTTATTACCGATAATTACTCTTTTATGTTACTAGGATGTTCACAGAACAAGAATCGGGCAAGTAACGTGTCTAAAAATGAAAATAACACGAAATTCAAAATTTCATTGGTAACGCAAAATTAATAACTAATGCTGAAAAGGGATTGTGGAATGAGCTTCATTTATAAAATACCATAGATGAAACCCCAAACATACTAGTAAGTAAAAGTAAAAAAATAATAGAAAATAGTACAAATAAAGTAAAAGTAAATCATAAAGAGAAGGGTAGAAGCAAATGGATAACTAAAGGGTTGATAAAATCCACAAGTGAAAAATAAATTAATGAAAGAATTACCAACGAAAGAAAACAGAAAATTATAATCAATACAAAACAAATTTATAGAACTTGTAAGAGAAACAAAACAAAGATACTACTTTCAGAAAGTAAATAATTCACACGACTCAAAAATACTAAGGACTACTGTTAATGATATTTTCAATAGAAAGTAACGATCTGGAAATGAAATTACTCAATTGAAAACGGAAACGGGTGAAATAACAAATGAAAATCTACGAATATGTGATGAATTTCTAATTTTTTTCACAAATGCCGGAGCAAAATTAGCAAACAATATAAAAAGCGATTATAATAAATTTAATTTATATGGAAAAATATAAGTAAACTCATTTGTTCTGACCGAAGTCGATGCTCAAGACGTTTTTAACATTATTATGTCCCTGAAAAATGATAAAATTCCAGGATCTGATGAAATAAGAGCAGAACAACTGAAGATGATAATAATAGCCTCATTACTCAACAGCTAACCATTTGCAGGGTAATTGAGAGAAGTTATAAATTATTACATGCATAACTACAAAAAACAAATTAAATGTGTATAACAGCTTGATCCACAAGCTTATTCAGTGCGCAAGTGTATTATAAATTATAACATGCCTAAGTACAAAAAAAAAAACAAATTAAAGGTGAATAACAGCTTGATCCACAAGCTCCTTCAACGTGTAAATAAAAAAGTCACAGTAAGTAGATATTCTATTATAGTTGCTACACATTACATGAATGGGCGGCTTGAATAAGGTATTGGTTCTTGGCCTACTACACTTGAACGTGGCCTAGTCCTACTGTAATATTTTATATAGAGACGAAATAGATGTAATACTGCGCCTTAGTTCCAAACTATCTTGATCAAACCTACTACATAAGATTTCATAGTCAATGCCGCGTTCAGGATAACTTCCATCTATTTTAAAAGCCGAATATTTTAATGCTTTGCGTTGAACCCTTTCGATCGCAGTGAAGTAACATTCATATAAAGGATTCCATATAACACAACCATATTTTAGCTTCGGTCGTACAAGCGAATTGAACAAAAGTTTAACGACATCGTGCATGTCCGCACAATAAACCCATACAATTTCAAGGCCTCGGACACTTTTTGCTCTACATGTTCTGCAAATGGTAATTTACAATAAAAAATTATCCCTAGGTCTTTGCAAGTGGCTTTCTCTTTGAACTTCACAATTATTTATAATATACTTGTAATCAACAACATAACATTGTTTCTTCTACTATATGAGATGACTTTACACTTTTGAGTATTGAGGTAGTTTTTTCTCACTACACCAGTTTTCAATAACAACCAACTTATTTTGAAGTAAGTCACAATCATCATGCAACCTCATTAATTCTTGAAAAAATTTTGATATCATCCGCAAAACATAACACGTTGCTATCAACTGTCACTAGTAAAGTAATAATATATAAAATGAATAGCAAAGGACCTAAGTTCAAGCCTTGCCGAACACCAGACGTAACTAAAATGGTGACTGACTTTGTATCCTTGATATGAAACAAACTGAAACCTATCCGACAGGTATGAATTAAAAAGATCTATCAGCTTATCAAAAAAAAAAAAACTAGAAAGCCTTGACAATAGCTTTTTAAGAGAAACTTTGTCAAATGCTTTCGAGAAGTCAGTGTAGATAACATCTACCTGTCCTTGTTCATCCAACTCTTCCGAGATGAATTGTACAATAAGAAATAGATTGGTGACTGTAGATCACCTTATCTATAAAGCCATGTTGGTTCGCTGAAATGTAATTTCTAACAGGTGGTTGAATTCTATTGTAAAGGGTAAAAACTTTTGAAAAGTTGCAAAGAATGCATACAGCTCTAAAGTTTTCATTATTGGCTTTATCTCCGCCTTCAAATATAGGACAAATTATGTCATGTTTCCACAATTTTGGAAACTTGCCGGTTCTAAGCGATAAATTGAATATTTTTGCGAGTGGATTGGCTAAAACAGGAGAACAGTCCTTGACCAAAAAGGAACGGATGTTATCGGGACCAGATGTCATTTTATTCTTCAATCTACAGATTGCTGTAATTACTTTCATCTTCAGTAAGCTTTTCAATATTGATAACTGAAAGGTCGGCTACAGTATTATTTTCACTAAATGCATCATTTGAGTCTATCGTGTAAACCTGCTGAAAAAACATTTTGAAGGCATTCATGATATTCATTAGGGTCAGAAAGTTTTTCTCCATGAAAGAACATCTCCCCAGAAATCCTAGTGTTTCTATTCTTGGTATGAATATTATATAATCAGAATGTATCTGAGTTATTGAAAATATATTATATATATATATATATATATATATATATATATATTTAATTAGACTTTTTACTAACTCACGTAATCTGAATTCTATTAAATAAAATTCGTATGTTTTTTCTTATATTTACTATGATATTTAGCCTTTAATTTTAAGTTCCTAATGATATCTGAGTTGAACCAACTGGGATATTTTCTTCTTATATAAGACCTATATGTAAAGGAACATGGTTGTCTAAAAGTTGATATAGCTTATCGTACAATGAACTCACTGCAGTATCTACATCAGAGCAGGAATCAAAGAATTGCCAATTTAGTTCCAATAATTCCGAGAAGAGAGCAGAGTAGTTTGCTTTATAAAAGTTGTATACTTTAGCTGTGGTATGTGGCTGAAAACTTGATTTTTTAGTAACTATATTTTTTTACTGTTATAGAGAGAGCAGGATGGTGGTTATATACTTTAACGAGCGGCAAATCAACATGGCACTGTACCGATGAAATAATCAAATCTAGAGTACGACCCAGACTGTGCGTAACGTGATTATATTGAGCTAATGAATGCAACTCTAGGTAAATCAGTCACGATAGAGGTATTTTTATCTGCTCTATCCAAATCAATAAATTACCATAAATCCAATCCAGATGCTTCAAACATTCAAAGAAAAATTCAAAATCACTAAGCATATGCGAAATATATACAACTAAGATATTAAAATGTCTATGATCAATAGAGCACTTAACTACTAATAAGTCAATTAGTCAATTAAAGGAAATTTCAAATCAAATGTAAAAGTATCTATGATCATACTTTTTATGAAGTTTCTTACTGCTAGCATCGCACCACCACTGCACGCTTTATCAGCTAGATCAAAGTTGCGGTCTTTGCGAAACACATCATATTCATCTGAAAACAACTCTCAACTCGACACATCATGGCTAAGTCACGTTTTACTTAACGCTATGATATCATATTCCACTGCACAGACGCCTCCATAGAACTCTTTTTGACCACGCATGTTGTGATAATAGTAGCGCAAGCAGTCCCAACTTTTGGGTACTAGCGGTTTAAAGGAATAATCTTGGGTATAGCATTGATGTATTTGATTTTATATTTTTCTGGACCTCTGGCATTTTTGGGATCAAGTTCAGCCTTCACTTCCTTGAAGTAGCTCTGCTGTTTAGGAGTTCGATCGAAGGAAACTGATATGTTCGTCTTTCTGTTATTTTTAAGAGAGTTTGAATTCCTTATTATGCTTATGCTTAAAAACATCACTTTCTTCTCTAAAAATCACTCGTCGGGCCATACCTTGTCCTTATTAAACCGTCCAAGTCTGACTGTTTAGCGCTTTGGGTTTGAAGTGTTTGATCTAAAACAGAAAATTCCGTTCCTGTCTTTGTCCAAGCGTGCTTCTGAAGATAGCTCTTGATCCTATTCAGGCAACCCATATAAGATAATATTCCGTGTTTATTGCGCTCGTTGATCTGTTGTATGACCTGTACAAAATCAACGCTATTTGCAAAGGAACTTAAATTGGTATTTTCCGTCTTTAGTGCGTCAATTTCTGACTAAAGAGTCAGTAACAAAGACTAAAGATCCTTCAATTCGTTCCCAATCTTCCTACAGTTCATGCAAGACCAGTCGAAACCACTGTGTTCATTAATTTATAAACACATTAAGCTGCTCGACTGATACATTCACACGAGAGTGCCTGAAAATCTTAGAACACACTGAGCATTTAATCATAAGGTTGGATTTGTACGATATGCTGCAGCACAGTGCCGGATGCTCCGCTGTTCGATTTTCGTCCGCCGCCGCGCATGACGTCACGCGGAGAGTGATTATCATTTGGGTTGATATGGAAAATCTACATATTTTCACCTACAGGCCAAACGGCTGGACGGATTTTCACATATGAAGTGTCGTTGGATTCGTCTTAGCGGTGCGAGTGACACTAGATACATTAAAATTTTATACAAAACAAAATGGCGGATTTTAATAAAAGATTTCAGCCTTGTAATTCATATTTCATAGGCTACAGCTCAAACGGCTTGATAGATTTTCACATATGAGGTGTCATTGCATCTTAGCGGTGCGAGTGACACTGGCTACTTTAAAATTTTATACAAAACAAAACGGCGGATTTAATTAAAAGAGTTTAACCTTGTAAATCATATTTCATAGGCTATAGCTTAAACGGCTTTCTAGCTCCACAATAGAGCGTGTCGTCACTTTACTGTAAAAACAAGATTTTTCTACATTAGCTATATTTTAGTATGTTCTGTGGAGCAGGATTAACATGCTCATGACGTTAATATTGCACTACATTTATTCATAATTATTTC